AACTTTAACACCACAACTGAACAACTTAAGGGCATACAAGTGTTCGAAACGTAGTTTTGAGCTTTAATTTCTTATTCTCTATAAAAAATAAAAATTCTTATTATTATACCATTTTGCAATTTTATGATGGCTAATAATAATGATAATAGAAATAATGTACACCTTCTCCAAATAAAATTAATGGGAAATATCAGCTAAAAACTACTCCAATATGTATGTAAATTTTACTTTAAACAAGATGTGTGTGTGAAACACTATGCGCCCGTCGGCAACGAAGTTCGAAAAAGCTATCTTTAGCATATAGGTCACGGTCAAGGTCACAAGGTCATTGACTTTGATGTCATTTGAAAGAACTTTATTAGTGGAGTAGGCATACCAAATATGAAGTCCCTATCTCCTATGGTTCAAAAGTTGTGGCAAAAAATCTATTTTTAGCATATAGGTCATAGTCAAGGTCACAAGGTCATTGACTTTGATGTCATTTGAGAGAACTTCATTAGTGTAGTATGCATACCAAATATGAAGTCTCTATCTCTTACGGTTCGTAAGTTATGGTGAAGGTTAAAGTTGACATCAGACAAACAGATAAACAGACAGGACAAAAACAATATACGCCCTGGATCTATCGATCCGGGCGCATAAAAATACAAGACCTTTCTCCATCTTACATATGATCAAACCTTCTACAGTAGCGGATTCTGATTTGTTTTGTATAAGAATAATGGTTAATGTGATTTTACGCCCATTCTCAGCAATAAGGTGCAATTAATGTCGTTCCCTTGTTACTCGATATTTAATAATATAAGAATGTTTTTCAGCACGAGCAAGTAAACATAGGTTATGGTCCGTAAACATCCACAAAAATGAGCAAAATCGGGAAAAGTCTTCCGAGATAAATACGTCTCTGAATTTATGAAAACAATACATACGTTACTGTCGCCAAATCCGTATTTCAAAAATAAAACATAATTGAAAAACTCAAATCTAATAAACGTGTATTTTTATGCACAGAAATTTACTGCACACCATATGAGAGGAAAAAATAATTATAAAAGTAAAACATAAATCACATGTAAATGGCAAATATTTTGCAGCATGTCGTTGTCGCCCAGTTGTTTGATACCTACGTAACGCCATCATATAACTGAGCTTGTGAATTATGTTTATGCAAATATATTTTCATTTTCAAGAAAATCAAACAGTAGACACCTTGTACTATCTTGTAAAATTTATCTGATATTTACTTTCCTTGAAATATTTTCAAACGACTTATATGCATTATAAAACTTCGTCGGTTGTATTTTCGCAAATACATACGTTATACATCTTTCTAAAAGTATATAAATGTGTTAGGCCCTATTAATGGTGCTTATATGTTTAGGAAATGGTTCATATTTTTTATTGCATACACATTTTTAAATCATTCTCAACATTTGAAAAATGTACAGTGTATTAATTTACCAGAATTTACATACGTTACCAATACTTACGTTACTGAAAGAATATTACGCATATTCTTGTATCACGTGTTTTCCACATGATGTACCTCATTACTTGATGTTTAAAGTAAGAAAATCATGGTTGTAAATACAGATATGCAATAAATATCAATGTAGTACATGCATATCAGTAAATCTTAAAGAGCTTCGAAATTTTCGGATACCTACATAACATTCGGTAACGTTGGTATTAACTGAGCCTTAATTTTTCATTTCTTTTCTTTAATTAAAAAAATTAAGGTTTTTATAATGGCAGGAGTTATGTTGACAGTAAGTCTACCATTTCAAATTATAGTTAATCTCGTAAACTTTATTTTCTATATACCTAATACTCTTTTTAATCACTACAAAATCTTTGATCTATTCAGTACTTCTTTGTTTATAAATTTCCCCTAGTTTATTTCAATAGATGGCCAAATTTGTTGATAATGGTACAAACACAATTCGATAGTTCTATACCTTAAGAAATAAACACAAAAATTGCAAGATTTTAAACTTTAACCCAACAAATCATATTAAAACTTTTGTCATAGCTAGTAACGTATGTAACGATTTTACGTTACGACAATAACGTAATATTTTATCATTTGTTTTCATATTCTGATTCAGTTATAGTCTGGATTTTCAAAATAGTATGTAAACTTATCCATATGAAGTATTCAAACAGTGTAATCTAATTACGGTTGATAGTTTCCAAATTACCTTATTAGATAATACTTACGTTACTTTAGACGTACACAATTCTGAGACCGTATATTATTCTTTAAAAATATTATAATTATGATTGTTTTTAAATTTATTGATTTTTCCATCGTCCACTTATTTCAATTTGATACAGGTCATGTTTTTCATGAAGGCAATTAGAAGTAATAAGTAACGTAACATACTACATTATTCAGTAATTATTAAAAGTGTTCTTCAGTTGTTCTAAAAAAGAGGTTTATTGACTCTTATGCCTTAAAAAGTACAGATTATTTGCCCTTGCATCGAATAAAAATTATATTCCTGCATATAAATGTTTTCTGAAGTAGTCAAAATGCCTTAATCATTGTATTTCCTAAATCAATATACACAGTAACGTATATATTGGGGTGATTTTAAAGAAAAAATGCAATGTATTTCAATTTGTCATAATTTTGTCATCAACACATTGGTGTTATGGATATTTTACCATACAACTCAGAATTATCTGGAGAAAACTTTGCAGGAAAAAAATTGAGCGTATACTCAAGTTGAATTTTACGTCTCTGATATACCGTAATTGCACATTATTACTGAGAATGGGCGTTTAAATTGAGAATATCCTAAAAAATTATCAGTGGAAAAGCATGAAAAGGTTGCAGAGTTTGTGTACATGTACATACGTTGCATATGTCCTAAAAATTGTATGAATTTATTTACGATTTTGCATATGTAATCTTAATGTTACATTATCTCCAACTGATACTTCTATGATATAATTCCGGACCTTTATAAAATAAGTCCGGCAAAATAGGATATAGACATTGTTGTGGATTTCTGTTGATATAGGATATATACATTGTTGTTATTTTCAATTGATATAGGATGTACTTTGTTGTTGTGTTCTACTGTTATATATTATCGTACAATTATATTGTTGTTTTCTAATGATAAGTGCATTAATATAAAAATATGTACGTCAATCGGATTAAAATCAGATTTTTGTTACGCTCCGAAATTATGATAGTCGCTGTAACAAAGATCTGATTTTAATCATATTGACATTATAATAATTACGTATAATTATAATTGCACGCTCGTTCGAGATAAAACACCCTCGGTCTGAAATCAAATCTTCCATTTTGATCCTCAGATAATTTAATTTACAGATTAAAAAAAAATAATACGTTTCCAAGAAAATAATCGCGATATTAATATGTTTTTTTTAGCAGTTTCTTAATAGGCAGATATTAGAAATGAAACGGACAAAGGTGGTGTTATATGAATATAAACAGTTGTGTTCTTCGCATTTTCTCCTTCGTTACATTTTAGAAACTCTCGCTCATGGCAAGTCTCGAGAACGAGAGTCTGGGGAATACCTGAATAAACATGCCACGTGATCTCACCTCTGATGTATGAGTTTTGAGTTTACTCTGCTCTTGACAGATATTGTTTGAGTGGACTTATAAGCTTGAATACAATTTGATATCTCCATATTTCATTAAAAGTATTACTTGAAGATGGAACTTGAACTCCACGTCTTATGCGAGTAAAACAAATTTGTTGTCTTGTAAAATTACCGGTGCCTTAGCTTACAGTTAATATGAAATATAAATATAGCTTTAGTAAATGTATGTATCTTTGGGATCGTACTCTTATAAAATATAAATATAGCTTCTAGTAAATGTATGTATCCTTGGGATCGTACCTTTGGTTTTCCCAATTCTTTCAGGGAAAATAAAAATGCAAAATATACAAAAACAATGGACACTTGCCTATTGCGCAAGGTATTCAATAAATACATACAATGTATGTGTTTTTTTCACTTGCCTAGTGTTATATACAGTTACGTACATCATTACTATGCACTCAGTTCATCGGCTAAATACCCGGGAGGAGTGAAGATTTTCAAAGAATGAATTCGAATGCATTTTCATTGTATAGTCATTAGAGCCAGCCCTAACAACCGAACCCCTGATCCTATGGTCATGAAATATACAACCATTACTAATTTCACTGGATTAATACACAATTTGCAAAATCAGAAAAAATAGGGGTTTTTTTTTTTGATAAATAATGCATTGTCACTATATTTTTAACACAGCTCCTAATACCAGAATATTTGATCCTGGGCAAGAATTTTAAAAAATTTATAATTTTATTTGAGACCTCAATGCTTATTACAATCAAGCAAATAGTCTGACTGCTTGATGATTAGGAGTAAAGAAAATTTCTAAGATTGCATTACTTTTGATGTTTTATAGCCCTTTTCCTCAGTCCCCTGGAGGACAGGGTCATGAACTTCATAACTTTTACTCCACTTCACCCATAGATGGATGCTTAAATTGGTTCTGTGGTTCCAGAATAGAAAACCTGGGTCAAGTCAGGTGACCCTAAAATTAAATCAAAGACACCGAAAATATTTAGAATTTGACGCGCAATGACAAACGTAAACGGAAAGATATCTGCTTCAGGGGTGATTGTGCGAAAAGTGATTGCCATGTTCTAAAATTTTGAATTCATTGCTGAGAGTTAGCATGTCACGTTATTACTGTTGTATGTTCTCTTACCCGGTAAATGCAAGTATTAGAATTCCACAGATGCCAGGACTGAAAATGAAGCAATTACAAAATTCGTTGGTTCAATTATCAGGCGTAAAGAGGAAAATATCTGCCACTACAGTGAGTCAGAATAACGATTAAAGTAGTGAAGGTACATTTACTTGTATTAGTGTTGCAATAAACAATACTACTTTTGAATCAATATCTTAATATGATACATAACTGATCATTTTTTTTTCAGATTAATAAGTTAAGAAAATGGGAAAATTGAGGACCTTTGAAATACAATTGGACAAATGAAGAGGGTGTATTTTCTCCTGGGGAAGCCATTCGCGGAAAAGTAATTGTCAATTTGGAAAGCAAGATGAAAATACATGGTACCCTTTTTTCAAATTGCATTACTTGGTAGATCATTTTTACCGATAACTTGATGGTGTTGTTGGCATCAGATGAAATGACTTGTCTTAACGATTGACAATTTTTTCATCAGCAAAACTTTGAATTTTTCTTGATTTTCTCCTTAATTGTTAAAGTTTGCTCCGTAGTGTACGTAAGCGTACAAGTGTCACTTACTTATTCTGTAAGTTGGTAACTTACACTTTGAAAAGACAGCTTTTCCGACATTAGTTTTGGAAATTCCAACTTTAACGTTGATAATGCCAACATTAATCTAGGCTTTTCCAACTACATATTTATAATGTCCATGTATGTAATTCCAATTTTAAAGTTGACTTTTCTAACTGAAAACTTGGACGGACTTTAAAACAATTTTGGTTTCAACGCCCTCACTTGACTCAAGATGAAAAATTTGGGTCGATAAGCAGGATGAATATTTTTTATTAAAAAATTACATCATTGCTGAATTATCAAAATCTATTTCCGAAAAAAATTAATTTACATTAAAAACTTCATAAGTTAGTGATCATTTTTGAAGTAGAATACTGTAAACCAACTTTTATTCGCGTCATCTTTTTTATTTGCGATTTGTCAGTTTAAAATCAATCTGCTACAACTAATTGTCATGAATAAGAAACATTTTCTACAAAAACCTAGTAAAATAAATTGTTCGCGGCGATTAATGTTCGCGAAACTCTTTCCTTCAAAGAGTCTTCCTTAGGGAGAAAGGTGTAATTATTACTATTTATTTCATAATATATTTTAAAGAAATATTTCCACAAAATTGTGTTTTCTATTTTTTCATTTTTTGAATAGAAGTGTTACTAACATTCAAGGGAAAATCGCGTGTATCATGGACAGAAATTGAAGAGAAGCGTGGTCGCAGGGAAGAGAACGATAAAAGCCGGAAAGTGAACTGCACTGCAAAGGAGCAATATTTTAAAGACACAAAAGCTGTATTTGGAAGAGGTATAAGCGAGCTCAGTTTGTGTGAGAATATTAACTTTCTAGTGACGATGAGGGTTTAGAAAATGTATAATTATCATTCATAAAGAAGTGAATAAATATTAAACATTTCTTAATTGATGGTATTTTGTAACCTACAGTTGTACATGTAAAGAATGGTAAATAATCTAAATGTAAATATGAGAAAATTGTTTTCATAGATTTTAAGGCAACAATCATTTACAAAACAATAGTGGCATTGTACATACATGTATATAATTTGACCAAATCTTCGGTTTCTCTGCACGAAATTTAAAGAAAAAAACATCTGGTCGTAGAAGGAAAAAATGTACATGTCATGTATTTATTCATCTTAGACAATGGAGATGATGATGTGGACTATCTAAACGGAGGGCAGCATATTTATCCTTTCTGGTTCAGTCTCCCGCTACATCTACCCTCTTCATTCGAGGGAACACATGGATATATCCGGTACACGATTAAAGGAACCATAGACAGACCCGGCGAGAAGCATGATTTTAAAACTGTCACACCCTTCACAGTTCTTGAGAAAGTGGATTTGAATAAGGAAGCATTGGCAACAGTAAGAATTTCCTGAAAGTATGCACTGTAAATTCACTTTTTATGTGCGAGGGTTTTATTTTCGCGTAAACACGCGAGATAATGTGTTCGCGAAAGTTTCATTCTCGCGTATTTCAGTAAGTTTGTCTCTCTGATAAACAGTTGATATTTATTTAGCGAAAATAGAGTATTGCAAAACTTTAGTGATATACAGTATCTTAAATGAATTCTGCTAGACTAATGTACTGAGATTCGAAAAGATGTTAGTACATATTTTAAACATTCGCATTGTGCAACAACCCATTTTCACTTACCAGACGTACATATACCAGAACGAAAGGTATCAGTATTCTGCTCTTATTTATATACACATGTATATGTAACAGTAAATATACACTGAACATATTTATTGCATGTATAGTCTTATATTTTTTTGAATGCTGCCAATTTTCAATGAGTTTTCTTAATGTGTACATTATTATTTTTTTTTAAAGAATGTTGGCGAAGCGATGGATTCCAAATTCCTGTGTTGCCTGTGTTGTAAATCCGGCCCTGTTGCAGGAACATTGAAAATTAATCGCACCGGATATGTTCCAGGAGAGGCTATTTATTTTGAAGGCAGTGTCCAGAACAGCACTACCCGTGTGTGCAACATGTATGCAGAACTGCAAATGGTATGAAACTTAATATCAACAATTGTCTTCTTAGTTTTCAAGTGATTTTGAAAATTAGAAAAAAGCGAATAAAAGATTCAGAAGTATTCAACAATGTTTCCCCTTGGTCATTAATTTGGTACAACTGCTTTATGGGTACTGTCTGTTTATCGGTCTGACTGATAATTTTCAGACTGTGTATTTTGTCTTTACTTGGCCCATATTTTACTTCACCTAAAGAATACAGTTCTGTACTTAATTATATAATATAAGTACGTCCAAATCCTTTAAAATACATTTATATTTAGTCTCAATTTGTTCCAGGTCACAACTTACCATGCGTCAAAGGATAAATCACTAGTTGAAATAAAATCAATCAATCGTATTGAACACGATGATGTACCTCCGGGTCAGTCAGACGTTTGGAGTGGAGATAAATTCGTGATCCCTCCTTTGGCACCATCGTATCTAAAGGATTGCGACTTGATTAACGTCAAATACTTTGTGAAGGTTGTTTTTTTTGTTTTTTGTTTATTTGTAAGTTACATTTTCATTTCATCTGTTCTGAAGACTTTAAGACAGGTTTGAAAGCTCCTCTTTACATGCTTTCTCTACAGAATTACGTGAATTAACATCACAAGCGCACATTAGCTGACACATACGATTTCTGTCTGATACTATGTATGCGTTATTTTAAAAAGAGTTCTCTAATTATAAATCTAGCTGTAAATTTTTTAAAAGGAGACTCATTTTTCTAAAATTTCTTCGTAAAATTTTTGTCTCTAAATGTGATCCAACCCTTTCCAAGGGTCCTTTGCAGAAACTTCAAATTGCTCTACCAGAGTATACTTTTATTAAAATGACCCCGCTGGTCTTGAGAAGTTTTAAAGATTATTTGACTTTTCGAAATGCATGGCTATTCCTACATGTACATATGTATCTACAACTTTAAAACCAAAGTGTGACCCCACTATTCCCTCTGGAGGTCATAGTATAAGGTATCTTTGTAAAAGGATACTTTGTGCAAATTTAAATTAAGTTGAAATTGAAAGATTGGTTTTGGAGAAGAAGAAGAAGAAAATATGAAAATAATGAATAGACATTTTAAATTTTTATAAGAATAAAGCTCACTTGGGCTTCCGTATTAGGTCAGCGTAGTTCTTGATTCAAGATCTACACAACTGAGTGAGACTTTGATATTATCTATTTAGAGATTTCTTAAATTAAGAGAATATGTAATAAAGATAATTTAACATGACATGTGTAATGAAGAGAATTCATATCCCCTCCCCACTCCACGTAATTGTATGCTTATACTTTGATTTATTATCCATACATGCTTCCATGTCTTTTAAAATAACAATTAACTAGTGTCCGGGAAGTTTTTTTTTTCTTGATTCAAACGCTTTTGCAGCTTATCATTGATCCATCTGGACCAGCTTTGGATTTGCATCTCCCAGTTGAAATCATCATAGGCACAATTCCACTGAAGTCAGCGGGCGAGTCTTCCACGACAGAGACGCGTATGTACAACTTAGATATATTTTAAGGTGGCTGGGGTCGACAATTAAAGCATCAGATATAACTGATTTTTTTAAATATGGTATCGATCTTTAGCTGTCAACCATCATTTGGCAAAGAAAATTTATACATTTACTTGTTGAGTTTTCATCACTTTTGTATATCTTTAAATGGAGCTCTTCTTCTAAAGGAAATGTAGTCTTAAGACGGCCACAACCACACAGCTCTCTTAATGTGGTTGGTTGCCAACTAAATTATGCAAAAAACCATAAAAAATGTAATATGTTTCTCCGGCCATTAATTACTGTATTATAAGTAAAGGAAATAACAACATCTTATGTAAAAATATTTTTATTGAGAATTTTTCTCAATGAGGTTTAAAATGGAAACGACCACATTTAGTACAATTATCTGTCATCCTTTGGTTTTCAGCATTCTCGAAGCTTAAAATAAAATAAAATAATTAGTGTCTCTAAAATTCTCATTGGTTAAGAAATCAATAACATCACAACTTAAAATTGTTGTTGACAACGATGAGATGACTTCAGCCCCACCTCTTTGACATTCAGAGAATGAAAAGCTGTGCAAATTTCAGACACTACATGTAAATATGTAACGTCGAGAATGCAACGTCTTACTGAAAGTCCTAGGATAATAGAGAATTGTACTAAGAGTAAAAAAAAACTTCAGAATATTATATTGAGAATGTATTCAGATATGGTTTACTCTAGGTGTACTTACTTTTAACATCGAATCTGTACTACTACGTACAATAACATACGAATTTTAAGCTTTAATTTACACCATGAATTATATAATTATCCCTTCTCATATTTTCTATGATTATACAAAACTGCGATACATGTACTAAGTATTCTGTAAAACAAAATCATATACTTTGTAGCTGCTACATCCTACGGTGAATCGGTCTGGGGATCAACTAATATTAAAAGTGAAAAAGATGGAGAGGACACACTGGGAAAAATGGATTTTACTCCAAAATACGCTTGTTACTCATCGTCTTAAACGGATTTTTTTTTTGAAATTAAATATCCTTGACGTCACAATAGAAATATCAGCTTCTAGGGCTGATATAGATTTTACAGGGCTGATACGGGTTTATTTCGGACACTTTTGAGATTGATACTTCAAAAAAAAAAAACTATTGTTTTTATGTATTGCTATCCGTTTTCGTCCGTCGTCGTGCGTTAAAATTTGACGTTTTCAGCTTCTTCTCTGCAACCGCTCAACCAATTTCAACCAGTTTTGGCATAAAGCGTCTTTGGGTCAAGGCGAAAGAATTATGAATTTCATGGCCCCAGGGTCAGGGGTCTTAGGTCTAAGGTGGGGCTATATAGATTATCTAGTGAAAATGCATTATTTTCTTTGAAAATCTTTTTCTCTGCTCCTGGGTATTAAATAAACGAACTATGTACATAGTTATGTTAAATAAGGCTGCCTCTTCCAAAATTGTGAATTTCATGGCCCCAGGGTCAGGGGTTCTAGTGCTAGGGCGGGTCTATAAAGATTATATAGTAAAAATGAATTGAAAATCTTCTCCTCTGCTCCTGGGTTTGAAACCAATGAACTATGTATATACGAGTTATGATGAGGAAGGATGCCTTTTCCAGATTTGTGAATTATATAGTGAAAATGCATGAATTCTTTGAATTTTTTTCCCTTGGTTTCTGGGTATTATGCCAATGATCTAAGTACATATTCATGATGAAGAAAGCTGTTTGTTATTAAAAAATCAGGACGATGGTTGATACAATAATTACTTCTTGCAAATTTTATACAGCATGTGTATTACATAAGGAATGTTTTGATTTCTGTTGAATGTGTGTTGCTCTGATTATATATTATGCTTTTCTGTGTTAATTCATTTTAAGCTGAAATCCATGTATGTAAATATGTTTGGTATAATGCATACGTAGGGAAAGGGCGTATTAAGTTTTTAGAACTTTTGCCCAATCCCAATTGTAAAGTATATAGACAATAAAATATGTTCAAATCAAGAAAGCTGCCTCTTCCAAAATAGTCAAATTCAGGGCCCCTGGGTCATGGGTACTTGGGGGGAGGGTACATAGTCTGAAATTAAATTAAAGCTTTGAAATCTCGTCCTTGGTATTAATCAACCGTTTATGATGAAATAAAATTTATGATAAAATTTTGAAATATGTGGCCCCAGGGTCAATGGTTCCTGTGGGGTGGGGTGCACAACTGGTTATAAAGTGAAAGTGCATTTTCTCTTTGTTACTCTAATGCTTCTAACCTTTTTCTTTTCCGACTAATTTAACAGAAATTCGCGTTTAAAAGGGGGGAGGGGTCTGCGTTTTCCAAGGGGCGTCCAAGGTCTCCATTTTCTATAGTATATAATTTAATAACCTTGCAAATTCCAGGGGTTTGAGGTCCTGACCCCCCACCCCGCTCTAGATCCACGCATGTAATAATTAGTTTATCGGTGATTATATATTTGTATTTGGTTTTAAAAGTAAATTAATATATCCTGTATTTCACTACTAAGTTTGTAATTTAATGATATTCATATCATATGTACACCCCTTGTTGATTACACACCATTTTTGTATTAACACAGTGAAATACAGGGTTTTCAGTTTTTTAAAGTTCAGTTTACGTATAGCTTTTTTCCTTTTTTGTGCATGTACTACAAAAAATAGTTTAATTCCTCTTAAGACTAGATGTGGTTTATTTGATTCAATATATAAACTTAAAAAAAAAATCTACTTAAGTCGGAATTGCTCTTACGATATATATAATGAGCTTGTTCGTAATTGTTTCATATGTTGCACAAGAAGTTGTAAGTTGTTTGTTATAACAAAGTATCTAAGAAGCATAATAAAAATACCCTTGCACGTATTCCCAATTTTAAAAGAAATCACATTCAACATATTCATACTTACAAATAAAAATATAAAACGTTTACAGTACTTATGAAAACAAACTGGTTATTATTATTAATTTATCTACGAAAAATATTGTTGGTGATTAGTATAATTTGTGTTTTCTCAAGTAGATGTGTAGCGTTTGTTTTTAATAAGTATGCACAGTGTAACAACGTAAACAACGACGAAGTCACTACAAAATATTGGAGAAGCGTTTTCAGAGTAAGAGGAGGGGGTTATATTTTCACCGATTCGGAATCGAGAAGGATATAGCTCACGTCTTTTTCGAAATTTTAAAGATGTTTTTACCAAAAACAGTCCACGGAAGATAGCAATGAATAGTTCATCGTTTATCTTGATCATTGGTCCGAGCACAGTAAATGTCTGTATTCTCAAACACTTCGAAACTGTTTGACAAATATCATTCACGGCGATCGAGTGATCAAAACATATAATTTGCACAATCTACAACTTGCATAAAGCATTAGATAGTTGTAACAACAAAAGTTTTTTTTTTTCTTTTAATTCAATAATTTAAAGTAGACTTTATGAAAATTAACAATCGGGACATTTTACCTTCAAATTTTGATTGTAACGTAGGGGATTTATTTTTTTTTTATTATCTGTTATTAAGCTTTGAAGTATATATAAATCAACATGATGTGTTGTTTTCATATAATATATTATACTTGTATTTGAATACAGACAGCAATCTGAACATTTATTGCATTGTTGAGACAAAAGAAATTATTTACATGTATAGATTATCCTTGCTTCATACAGTCTTCTTTATGGAATTGTTTCTGTGTAATACTCAATAAATTTTTGTCTGTTATTTTTGTTCCTTAACATTTATAGTGTATGAGCCCGATTTGACTCCGAATGATGGCGCAAAACAATAGAAAAGACAGTAAAAACACATGGGAAGAAATATCACAGTTACACAGAAAATCCATTCGAACACAATTCCTCCAAGAAGTGCATAAAATTCGAACTGACACATTGTTGATGTCCATACAGGTTTCTCCATATAGTATCTATAAATGCAGACGAAAGTTCCTAAAATGAGAAAAAAATATCAATGACAAATCATTTTAATTCAGCATTCCATTAAACTTTTTTAAGTCTCAGAGTTTTAGCTAAATGATTACATGTATTGATAAGCTATGGGCATAGAAAAGTCTGCGACTCTTCAAAACATAGGTAATCAGGACAGATTCAGAGCCCACCTCGAACGCTGTCTTTAAGTAAGGCAAAGTCACACATTAAAATAATAATCTAGTAGTGTGCCATCTTCGTTAGCCAAGGGTTTCTGATACCATACGGCAATACAGATTTCAGGTTTTCCATTTCATATGGAAATCAAAACTCAGAGTACTGAATATGCCAACCAGAAAACAATGGAGATAGTCAAACTACACCAAATAATATCTACCTGATGCTGTTAAGAGAATTCGGAGGATAAATACAGAAATCCAGAATGTGCCGGTCCCCACGTCTTCTGTATCCCCCACACAGCCGCCTACTCGCTTAGTCCATCCCATTACAAGGATAGGAAATACAAATACCGACAAAATCCCATCCACTGTCAGGTAGCAGGAGACTAGAATCTCGTCCGGACAGGTCATGTAGCACACGATACCTGGAACAGATACTTAATCAGTTGAATTGAAATTAATTGATAAATATAGGATTACTGGTGACCCTTCATAATGTCAAGTATTGCAAACACTTTGAAACTCATTCTGTATGGTGATTTTATAGTTATCCATAATTATTACTTAATAATTTGAAAAAAAAATAAATTAAAAGTGTTTAATCTTGTTCTAGTGTCTTTGTTACTCAGTATTTTACAATTTCTCTTATTTATAGTTTTAAATACATATATATGATTTGTAAATGGAAATAATACAAAAATTATTTGAAAAAAAAAAACTTAGAAATACTCAGTATATTTTCGCAAAAAAAAAATTCAATTAAAAGATAATTACTAGTATTTTAAAACTTTAAAATGTGTTACCCGAGGAGGAAAGAAAGAGTCCCACGATGCAGTAGAGGCCTATGAAGAGGGTGCTTTCAAATCTACAACCTGTAAAAACCAATATAATGAGATGTAGACATTTTCTTTCGTTTTCGATAGCGGGAAAAAATTAAATAATAACGAAAATTGATATAAGAATAAATAAGCACTCGAAGAAATCGATGCATTTATCATTTGAGCTTCGGGTAAATGTATTCGTTATCAATGCATCAAAAGTAATTTAAATGAACAATTCATTATGAGAAAGTCCTGAGAACAAAGTTGTCCTGCCCAGAGATCATGAAAGATCCTAAGATTGTTAACTTTATTTTGTATTGATATTGTTAGAAAAAAGTAAAACAGTCCAAACTGATTTTTTTTTAACTGCACCATATAGTGTGAATCAAGCCCAGTACGTAATGAACGGCATTTTCCGAGACTTGGCGCACTGATTGCTAAGCTTAAACATGTCTTTTAAATTTGCTGGGTTTGCATAATTAATAAACATAATTTTACAGGTGTGTTCGATTCTAACCATAAAATATATAACACTAACACATGCAGTAGCGGTGGTGTAGTGCATTTCCTAGCCGCTTACGATACCCTCGGAATCCCTTGGACCCCTTCCAGCTACCGTGGACCAACGAGCTGAAACTCTGACACATGGTACTGTCGACCCTTTTCAACAATTTTGGTTTCTCTTCCGTAGCTGTGAGGGAAATCCCTGTGTCATCAGCATTCTCGTCTGAAATGTTATACATAAAAAGTAAAAATACACAGGTACAAAACATCGCTCAGAATTTTATGTAGCTCTTTTATTTAAGAAATGAATCTTCTAAATCTTTCACTTGTCCCAAAAACACATTATTCTGGCCCTTAGATCATTAAGACATTTTAGACTGAATCATTACCCTTTCAAATACTAGCATGTATATTTTTAAACATTCGTTTGTGATGAATATACAACTCATGACTTAAATTTTTATTTAAGTTTCATGATCCTTGAGACTGTTTTTATGGAAAATTATTGGTTGAAAAAGCAGCAGCTGACCCTGAATGGTATAGTGAAAACGTACTCAACATTCAGGCAACACAACTGTGATTAATATAGGGCAAAGAGTAACTTGGAAATAAATAATCTGTTACAGACACTTTTAAAGTAGGATTCTGACTACTTGATTAAAGTATAAGCTCCCGACAACGTCGAGATGAGCTAAAAATGAAAAATTTTGCCATTCATTCCAGATAATACTAATGCAGGTAAAATCACATTCTCATAACTTACATTTTCTAATTGGCATATTTCTTTCTATCCTCCATAAAAACTAATGATTAAGCAAAGCATTTACCGGAACAATGAAATTCTTGTTTGCGTTAAAGAAAAACATTTGAGTTGAATTCACTACGGCAATGAAATAAAGAAGACCAGTGAATATTTATCAAGGTCTTTCACTGTTTCAGCCAGCGACCGATTACCGTTTCAAAACATTTAACTGACTTTTATTTACACATTCTAAACAAATAAATGCAATTTTGTTTTTACTTACGAAAACAAGCCTTTTACATTTCAGATAAAGGTCTTTACTTTCTATTTGTCCCCCTCTATTTTTCAAATTCAATTTGTTTGATTTGTTTTATTATTAATTTTTTTTATTAAATGCTATACTTGTACCTTTTAAGAGAGTGAAATTAACAAGAATGCCCAACAGTTCCAGTGATTTTACAAATGTCAAGATATACATATATTTTATTATACATTTATTGACTGAGTTCGAGGGCAACATGCGTTTTGTCGGACCCAAGAACCAAACTGTCTGCCTGAGGCCGTTAGGCCGAAGGCAGACAGTTTGGTTCGAGGGTTCGACAAAACGCATTTTGCCCGAGAACTCTGTCAATAAATGTTTTGTTATACCTTTCATTTCATTTTGTTTTTTTTAAATATATTTACATGTATTTTGTACTTCATCCCGTGATGTAACATCAGATCTGTCACTGTTTAACACCAGCGAATGGAAATGAGATTAAGCTCCGCCCACTCTGTGACGTAAGCGGTCCAACATCTCTCCGAGCGGTCCAACATCTCACTCAGCGGTCCAACATCGATTTTTTTATGCCCGCTCAGCAAAACATTAAAAATGTTAGACTTTTTTTGTATAGAATTGTATAGGAACAAATTTCTAAAGGTATAACAATTTAGTTTATTGGGAGTAACGTAAAAAAAACTTATCATACTCGATCGATGTCTTGATATCATGTACCCGGACACCAAAATGGTCAGAATATGGCTGTGAAATCAGTGCAGTTGATGTAATGGAGGGGGTACCCGGTGGGAGTTATGAGTTTGTTGGGATTTAAAAGGTATTAAGGACATGAAAACAATAATATAGTTATCTAACCTAATACTGCTTCCGCTGGACCCGGATATGACTGTTGGCGGGAAAAATATGGTTTACTGTGATGCCTGGTCAACTTGAACGTCCCTTTCCCTTCAAACAGCTCTTCAAAGGTGGGGAAGTCAAACAGCGGGGATGAGGGGTGGGACCGGAGGGACAAGCCGGAGGAGGTGGATAACTTTCGTAGTATTGAGCGCCTCCTCTTGGTGTCTTCTGAGGCTGAGGAGGTAGGGGACACCGGCGCCTCATCCTCGTTATGGGAGTTAGAGGCTGATTTAACGCCGCTATCTGTAAGTTAACGTACTAGATATGATAATAAATGTTCGTATTATAAAAATCAAGAAAAAATGGTATGGAATACAAAATACCCGTTATTAGATTATAGATATATTCATATACATAATATTTTTAAATTTATCAAACATTTTTCAAATTATTTTGAAGAAACGTCTATGCTTTTCTTAGTTAAATACACAATTACATCTATAATGTTTTTGCTATATGTTTTTGAATTTCTTTTAATATAAATAAACTAATGGCTATTGTTGATTTATTGTACTTCATGATGGCAGTTCAAATTATACTTAAAATAAAAATAAGGTCAAGAGTTTAACTGAACCGTTACTTTTCATCTTATTTATGTTAACGTTACTACATGCATATTATTTAATACAATGCATTAATTTATTCATAAATTATATATCTTTTATTCATAATTAGGTTCCTTAAACAGACAATACGTAAAACTTGAATACGCATAAAATATTTCCACAGAGGATTTTATTTTCTATTATTTAACTAATACAACAACTGTAGATTCTCAGAATTTTTTTCAACGTTATAAAATTTCCTCAGGTATTGCAATCAAACAGGTAGATAAAATATATCCTGAAAATAACTACATCGCATCAAAAAATGAGTGGAATAAAACACAGGAGAATTATTGTTTACACAACTGAACTTTCACAAATTCCCCGTCTTAATTAAATTCTAGCAACAGAGTTTAACATAAATAATTGGACTACATGTACCTTCTGATTCTTGACTTCTGGAGGTAGATAACCGTACGTAGGTCGAGGAGGTAAGATTTCGGCGATCAGACGATAGATTCGACTCAACGTCTGCTCCAAATGTCCAGGTCACCACTGGATGGGTTTTGACGAAATTCTCACGCTGCTCAGCTTCGGAAACTTGCACGATTCTCGACATTATGGGGGAATGTTCTTTTACGACACAATCATTTTTTTTGTGTAAGCAGTGAACTGTTAAAGATGGTGACGATGTAAATTTTAGTGGGTCAAAAACACAAGTCAACAGACCGTGTCGTTTAATTTACAAAACGATGGTTTTACATTATTATGTTTTTCCAGAATTTTGTCCAATAATTTCATGCATATATTGCTATATATTTGCGTCTATATGTGCAAATAAACTCTAATAACGTGTGCAATATGCAATTAATGATAAATTTTTCTTTAAAAAAATAAATTAAAAAAAATCAACTTATTTAAATCAAAAGATTTGTACGACATTTCTTGCGTCTATATTTGTGCCACGACATACTGTGAGAGAAATATATTTACTAAGTACATGTATGAAATAGATACACTAATTACATGTATGAATTCTATCTTAATACTAATTCTAATTTAATGTTATACCGGTATTTGGAATGCTCGGAAAATTATGGAGTTCACCTTTTGAAGTAAGTATGCACCAATGAATGTAAGTAATTATATTTACGAATAGTTGAAATCCCGCGCAAGCGCGGGGAAACATTTTTTTTTTCACAAATGAAATTTTTATTCCAAAAAATTATCTTTTAGTTAATACAAAAGACTAGATTAAAAAACAGAGAATAGCATGTATTTGGTAAAATGTGACAATTTAAGGCGCCACTTTTACTTACTTCATGCACATTTAAACAAATTACCATTAACCGACATTTTCTTTAAGTAAGTTTATTACTTTACAAAAATTGTACTTAACTTTGAGCTCGTCGCCATGATGTGTTATTTGCAAATATGCACATTTTATTTGTAAATTCATTAGTCCTACTTACATGTACTTTCAATGTAAAGATATATGGATAACTCATAGTCTTGCATGTATCAAATTTCACTATATTGAAACCTCTGGTTCTATTTTCTTTTTAACATCGGGTTCGATACCATCTGATGTTCTAGAACTTCAATCATAACGGAAAGGTTTTGCAGTTTTTGTGTATTCCTAGAGGAAGAAAGATCAAAGACCGACTCCTTTTAACATCCAAAAGCTTAAAGATGCGAAGGTTATGAGATCTTTACAATTAAAAGTCCAGAACAAGTTTGCAGCTCTTCTGGAACACTCAGATGAAATTGATATGGACACATTTAATGAGGTACGTACTATTTTAGATAATGCGCAGCAAATACTTGGCCCAAGAAAGAGGGAAAATATGAATAGATCTCGGAGAATACATGGAAAATACTTGTAGTAGAGCGACGTAAAGAAAAGAAAAAGGAAATCCTGTCCACTAAATCAAAGAGACAACAAGATATCTCCAAGCAGAATATCGGACTATAGACAAAGAAGTTAACAAAAATGCAAGAGCAGACGGGAAGGCATACACTGAAAAGCTAGCTAATGAAGCAGAACAAGCAGCTTCTAAACAAGATATGCAAACCCTCTATCGAATCACGAAAACACAATTCAGTAAATTTCAGTCAGCAGATTTACAAGTAAGAGACAAAAAAAGGAAATGTCAGTTTGTCTTATCAAAAGAAGAAGATATACAGAAACGATGGAAAGAACATTTTGAGGAAGTGTTCAATATAAATGATACAGGGAATGAGGTCCTGATAACACCAGCCATCAACACATTGGATATTAATGCAGATCCACCCAGTATAGAAGAGGTGAAAAAAGCAATAGGGAAATTAAAAATGGAAAAACTGCTGGCATTGACCAGATTAATGCAGAGCTCCTCAAGGCCGAAGAATATTGGACACCTACCATCTTGACAAATATTCTACAGAACATATGGGAATCAGAAGAGACACCAACTTTCTGGAGAACAGGCCTTATAGTAAAACTTCCAAAAAAGGAGACATTTCCAACTGGAACAGCTATAGGTGGATAATGCTGCTCTCGGTATCCATGAAAGTGCTAAGCAGAGTGATATTGAACAGAATCACAGACATAGCAGACCCTATACTGCGGAAAGAACAGGCAGGTTTTAGAAAGGGGAAATCATGTGCCGATCAGATATTCAATCTCAGGCAAACATTAGAGCAAAGCAATGAATGGAACTCTCCACTTTACATCAAAATCGACTTTACAAAAGCTTTTGACAGTGTTAATCGCCTAGCTTTAGAAAACATTCTCAGCTAGCTCGCATTTCTAAAGCCACAGGAGCGTATGTTGCACTAAGAAACATCTGGAGGTCAGCAAAGATCAGCATAAATACCAAAATAAGGACCTTCAAGAGCAACGTGCTTGGGGTCCTCCTATATGGTGCTGAAGCATGGAAAGTTACAAAAACCATCTCAAACAAGCTACAAATGTAGATGCTTTCCAGACACGTTGCCTTCGCAGAATACTACGCATCTTCTGGCCTAATACCATCTCAAATGAAGAGCTGTACAAAAAGACCAACACCACCCCTCTATCTCAAGTTATAAAGAAAAGAAAATGGCTGTGAATAAGTCATGTATGTAGAATACACCCAACTTCCATCCCAAGGGTTGAATTGAGATGGACACCATCTGGCAAGAGAAAGAGAGGAAGACCAAAAGAAACATGGAGAAGATCTGTGGAGAAAGAGATGAGAAAAAAACAGCTGGACATGGGGACAGATCCAGAGATGGACACAGGACAGGCCAGCATGGAAGTCTCTGGTGACGGCCTTATGTGCTAACCAGCACGAAGAGGATTAAGTAAGTAAGTAAGTATTCCTAGAGGAGAAAGTATGAACTCTTGTGCAAGCGTTTCGGAGTTAATTTGCAAATTTAGTAATTTATAAGTTTAGATATTTTCATTAATTTCATTGAAACTTTTAACTTTGACGGGCTTTTGTCATCCCAGTTAGCCTGTATGAGGTAATCACATTTTTGGTGCCCCAGTTTATCTGAATGGAAAATGGAGAGAGCGAACAGTATGAATTTAAGCTTCAAAGTACATTTGAACAATACAAATCATGCAGAAGCAGAGCAAACATGGACCTCTTTAACATCAGAGGTGAGATCAGGTGCCATGAAGAAGTTAGCATAACCTGAATAGTCACACCGGCCGTGTGTTCTTTGTCACGATCGGAAAATAAAGAAAATATCAATGGATATCAGTGAGTAATGGCCTAATTATTAGTATGAAAAACGACGGTCATATTTGACTAAATGATAGATTGTATTTCCTGACAAGGTCATTCTGCCTCCCATAGAGCTGGCGAAATGGTGACTTTAAATGAGACTGTTGATATTCTTGTTTAATGAAATTATTTGTCAATAGCTTGTCTCCATTCAGAAATTGTTCATTCGCAGAGCATGCTCTTGCGTATCGAATAATCTTTGAGATAATGATGCCGTCTCAAAATTTAAACGCCCTTCTTTTAAGTATTTCGATTGGATGGAGTCATATATGTTATAAGTTACATATCTTCTTTTGAATTGATGGATAGGTGTGTTTCTTCGATAGAATGGACATGGAAAAGGTTATAAAGTAATTAAACATATTGGTACATGGACAACAAAGTGACATACTGACAAATGAAATGCATTATCTTTGATTTTATACTAGAATCACCTTTGTTCGAAAAAATTTACATAATGACCTTGGAAAATTAACGATCCTCTACCAATGTGATTAATTGATTGATTGTAAGTTGTTTAATGTCCCTCTAGAATTATTTCACTCTCATAGAGACGCCACCAATGGCCGGTGGAGAGCTGCAAATTTTGTCCTAAAGATGTTTATATACTTGAAGCTATATATATTTTGCACGCCTTCGTTGTCCTACATTTTTTGCTGAGATCTGAAAGGACGTAATAATAAAGTATGACTGATTAAAGGACACGATGGTGCATAATGACTTTAACTGCAAATTGTTTTGAATACGTGCATTAGTACTTTAGCACGTAACTGGTTATAATATAATCTGGTTCATTATTGCTTCACCAGAATAGAAGCAGAAAGAAATATCTTTATACATGCAATGTCTCTTAGATTCCTTTGAGAGAAATCCTAAGTTAACATCCATATAAAATACAACAAACTCTAATGCACTTCATTATTTAGATTCATATACATGGATGGACACATTCTTGGGCTCTCAAATATATAAAATACATTTTTATACAGGTTTATTATACACATGCAGTATATAAACTTTTTAAAGTGCAAGTTACACTTCAAATATCTAGAGCGATGAAATCTTGTTTGCACATCATGATTAACAGGAAGTTTTTTTTATCAACTTCCGATGAGACAACACATAGCATGATACTCAAAAAAGTGCCTTAACACCTACATGATCTTTAACACAGGGCTTCATGATGACTTGGAACAATTCCCTCTGTCTGAAAATTGGCTTAAGACCCTAGATTTAAAGATATGGCATCTTCTCATCAACGGTGTTTACAAATGTTTGTAGACTCATGTAATTTCGGGTTTTAAACTCAGTGTTGAATAACACTTAGTATTAATTTTGATTTTTTAAAAATGATTTTAGGGTAACCATAAGCCGAGGCACAACCTTCATTGTAATCAAAGTAATTGAAAATTACCATAATTACTAGAATAATCACTTGATGGCGGATAAGGACTTTCTATATCGACAGTTTTCGCAGCAAATGGATTCTAGCTCCATCGATGAAATTTTAGCCAAATTGTTTAATTTTGCAGACTTTGGAACCTCTACAATTATATTACCCTATGTGGTCATGACAACATAAATACAACATCTGCAGCCATACTCATAATTCTGATTAGAAAAGTTTGCTACTGATAATTAATCATAACGGAGATAGGTGTATCATGCTGTTGACTTTACAGTGCATTATCAAACAAAATACAAAGTACATGCCACAGATTTTTATATACCCCAGCTTTTGGCATGTTTTGAACTGTGTTAGTGCATTATCAAACAAAATACAAGATTTCTAAACCAGTACATTTTTACAAAATCCAAACACTTAAACATTTGAAATTTTTATATATAAGGAAAAGTACCCCAGACAAGATTTTTTTGTGAGAACATCTTTAAGGAATACTTCACTGACAAAATCTTTGTTTTGAGTTGTGTTAAAGTAATATTCATTTATTATGTAAAAAGTACTATAACATGTACATGAATTAGTCATTTGCCATTATCAAAATCTTTATAAAATCAGCAGTTAACGAAAACAACACGGCAAACTGCACGACATAATTGTTACAGTTTGTAAAGTGAGCATTACAAAGAAGTGGTGTGTCTGTAGGAACATGTAAAAATTCCTTCCAGTGTCTATGGTTCTGCTGCATAGAAACATTCCATTACCGATGTCAATCAAAATGGCTCGGACATATCAACAAATGATTTTTGGATGCTTTTCCCAGGCAAAATCAACACAGAACGAATGAATGAAAGCTGTTGGTTTAATCACAGTTATCACAATATTTTCAACCAACGTTATAAAAAAGTACTGGTAAGTTAAAAATATAAAGGGAAAATAATGCCGTTCACATATATAGCACCAAGGGAAACTATGCAACTAGATCAATATGTAAAATTGTCAAAAAGTAAACATTTTTTTCAAAAAATAATACTGTTGTTATGATTTGCATCAACTTAATATTACAACCAGAACAAGTAAGTGTATCAACTTGTCCTCTTCATTTAAACTTGATATGATGATTATCAAGAATATGGCTACATCACAAACTGTAATTCGGGGACATATTTCTGTATGTAAGATATATATTAATCCGAGATCCCTCCGACTCTAACCCCTGCTTTTATATTATGATGCAGGGGCATGTGCATCTCCCCTGCACGTCACAAAGGGGTTAGAGTCAGAGGAATCTCGGATTAAATACATAAATAATAACATATTTATGAACAAATTCCATGAGAAATAAAGAAGTCAACATCTGATAGCAAACATAAACATTTGCCTGTAATAAGAGGTCAGAGGAATTTAAACTATGGAATGAAAGGGGAATATCAAACTTCATACAGAACCCGTATGCGGAATACCTAAAGCACCCATTAAATCAGCAGATTCAGAATGTAAAAAGTAATTAAAATTAAATAATAAATTAAACAAGAATTGGAATTCAAAATGAAACTGATTGCACAAGTGTCGGAATAGATAGTACGTTTTCAGGATATGTTTGGTAGTTAAAAATCTAAATTATTAATACTAATCATTCTACAACAAAATTTGGCTTTTCTGGAAAGTTGCATCCATAGTTTTGAATGACTTCTCTGGCAGCATATGTACCACATTTTAAGCAGATTTCAGTTGTTTTTCCCTGAACAAATTGTGACAGAAATCCCCCTACGAAAGAGTCCCCACAACCATTAGTGTCCTTAATCAAATGTTTTTCTACAGGAACAACTGGAATTTCTTTGATTTCATTTCGTCTTCCCACAATTGTTGGAGATCGTCCCTGAGTAAAAATTACTGTCCTGCCATGACGTTTATTGAGTTTCATGTAGTTGACAGTTTTTTGTGCAATCTGTTTAATGTCTGAAGTTCCAAATCCAATTTCCTTAGACAGCTCTCTTGCTTCGTCTCCATTTCCAAAGAGAACATCAACATACTGTAATATGTTTAGTTCAAAGTCTGCAAAATGGGAGCAAAGAAAAGTCGCATGGAGATTCATGATAACAACTTTGTCATTTTCAGCAGCATGTTTTAGAATTTTTAACGCCGCAGCCTTACTTTCAGGTAAGGTAAACCCGCCTATGTAGAAATACTTGGCCTTCTCTACTAGATCCCAGTTCTCAGGCTTATGCAAGAAATCTACATTGAACATTTGGGCAGCCCCTAAATCTGTCACCAAGGACCTGTCCTCACCAGTGATGATAGCACAGCATTTCCCAGTGGATTTATCAGAATGGATGTCATATTTTACGTTCACGCCAATCTCCGTTGCTTTCTTGAATAAAATTTCCTCATACATATCATTGCCAACGGCACCAAAAAATGTCGTGGCCTTCGGTTGCTGGAGGAGCCATTGTGCAACTCTGATGGTATTTTGTGTGGCACCACCAGCAAGATAGATGGGTTTGCACTCCTCCACACATTTTTTGAATAAACTTTCATGCTTCTTTGTGGCAATTATCGCATTGTTTGGTAAAAGATCGTACTCTTTGAGCAACCACTCTGCATCAGGTCCAGTGACGGTCATATCCAACAAGGGGTTCCCCACACCCAGGAGGGTATCCTCAGCAATTAAACTCCCCATGCTACTGTATGATCTGATAATCTGCAACACAAAAAAACACAATAGTATACTATACTTACTGCTTTCAAGCAAACACCTTTTCTCATTTCTGTAGAAAAAATGGCGAACAAATGCACGAGCTGGTTCATCAAAGGCATAACTCACTAAAAGCATTTAAATTAAACATGTTAAAGGGGGGATAACTAAATAAAAAATAATAAAATATAATAATAATGAATATAAGTATAAAATATGCAGATATAAAATCATTTGGATATGCAAGAGGGAATCACTTCGACATTATGTGTGTGGGGGGTATTGAATGAAACGGAACAAACTTTAATTTATTTTTGTCAGTAACGGAATTCCATACGAATGTTTTGAATGGATTACTGTAATGCAAATAAATAAATAAACGATCCAAATATTTCCTCATGGAGCCATTATGAGTATCCGCTAGAAAAATGTTCATGAAAAATAAATGTGCTAAATATTATAATCTTGCTAATTAATTTTTCCCAGAACATCAGTTCCCAATCTTACCTGACTTAGAGGGTGTAGCACAGGCCTTGACCGTAGATAATAGATATTACACCAGCTACACGTCAAGGACTGCGTTAAGCCATGTGGTGCTCGCACAAACTTTCGCAAAATGAAGATCCTGCGCCTCAGTTCCATGTATATATAACATATGATAGCCATCTAATCTACAAGTACTTATAACGAGCGATGTGAACTAGTGCTAATTGTAACGGGGACCGTTACAGATGTTCCCCAAACGCCCCCCATCTCCCTTTTGGTGCCATATTCCCTGTAAGCTTCATTTATTAACACAAACTCTATGCATTTGAAATTTTAACAATGTTTACCCAGAAATGTACCATGCTCATTCAAATTTTAGCATTGCATGTGTGCGCTTGAAGGCATATACGTAATGACCATATCATCTTGTCTACACAATATATATTTTAATATACTTAATATTAAAGTATTTAATCCAAAAGTATTACAAAATTCGTATTTCAAAGTGTATTTTTGATTTTACCCATTTCAGATTGAATTAGATACATAATGTAATTAGATATTCTTGTAATTTAAATCTATCTGTATTCTTACAATGCATCCCGTTTGAAAACTTATTTTAAAGTTTAAGCCATATATTGCAGCCTACGTACACGCACATGTATAGTGCATCACCTTCTTGTAGATTTCCATCATATATATCTATGCCAAATCCCATCCTGTTTTTGAAAACCAAGGAAGTTATAACTGTTTAAAGTTTCAGCCAATCAGATTGCAGCTCACGTACACGCACGTGTATGCATGTGCATGGTGACCATACCTTATTGTAGAAGTCCATTTTATATATCTATGTTCCAAATCCCATCCTGTTTGGTTGAAAACCAAGGGAGTTATAGCTTTTTAAAGTTTCAGCCAATGGATTGCAGCTTATCATGTATGCATTATTTTGACCATACTTTTTTTTAAAAAATTTTATATATCATGTTCTAAATCCCATCCTGTTTGCTTGAAAATCAAGGGAGTTATAGCTAAAAGTTTCAGCCAATCAAATTTAGCACGTGATACACGTGTTTTCATGATAATTTCTATATATCATGTTGTAGGATATCCTAATGCATGGCTATGTTCAAAATTTCAAAGGATCTCCTCAAAAAACAAGAAAGATATTGAAACTTTAGTTTCAGCCAATCAGAGCAAAGCGCACGTGCATGCGCGTGAGATCTTGCTATTTTGACCATATCATATTGTCTATATTACTAATATATCCTTACATTATGAGTTTCAAAGCATTTCATCAAAAATTTAAAAAGTTACGCCTATATCAATTAAATCGGTCATTTTACATGTTGCACGTGCGCGCTCTTGCAAGCACGTAGGCGCAAAATGACCTTTGTTCGGCAAATCTACATAACATGTCTATTGACCATAAAAACATTTTACCTTAGTCGGATGTGTAGTTTACAAGATCACTCAAGGACAAAATTTTCCCAGGAATAATAATAATAATAATAATAATAATAATAATAAGAAACAGAGTAAAAACAATATGTTCCCCAACTTCGTTTGGGGAACATAATTACTTAGGGGCTCCACAAAGGGAAAAATACATAGCTGGAGAAAGGAATGAGAAAAAGTTACAAAGATGTCGGCTGCTTATCACTCACGTATAGTCCGTTACTATATATACATGTACATGTATGACAAGATATACAGAAGAACACCTAATGCAATGGCAAATTTGATGTATTTCAAAGTGTATCTGTTTATTCCTTAGATTGAATTAGATACATAATGTAATTAGATATTCAAGTAATTTAGCAAGTATATTACAATGCAGCTAACTTATTTTCATACATATATTAGTACATGCACTATACTAGTAGTTCACTAGTTCACTAGTGCCAGCATTCAAATGCCAAGAACATTGTATTACCGGAATGAGAGCAATGCAAGTGAGAAATTTATGTCAGCATGATTTATCATTATCCATTATTTTACCATAGAAAAAATGATTGATACATGTCTATACCAACTAATGAACAAATTTGCACAAATTTACAGGAGAGACTGAAGATATTCATTTTTTCTTTAGGTACATGTCAAAGTTACACTAGATCACAGACTTACTTTAATCAGAAACTTAATGAATTGCATTCAGGGAAATATATAATGCCAAACCAATGAATATTTATTATAAAGCAAATGTCCAGATATATACTGATAACACATTTATTAAAAAATATTTTTATCTAGATGTGATTGTGTTACTAGTGTATAATTATTGTACAGATTATTGTATGGTGTAAGCATTTTTTACATATTAAGTTTTAAAACATTATTTAATGTATGACCAAATTTTGTATTATATGTTGGGCATTTGCCAATTATTATAATGGTAGTACATGTAATTGTGTTTGTGCCAGTAAATAAGTACATTTGTAATTACTTTTGGGGTTCAGTATAATATGCAGTGAAATATACTTGCATACATCCCCTAATCAAGGGGAGAATGTTATCAAATCCATTTGTCCTATTATTTAAAAAGAAAATATTTAGTTGTGTACTATAAAAGTAAAAAAAAATTAAAAAATCTGCCTCCTCCTCCCTCATGGCGTTCTCATGTTCTTCAGTGTGCTTTTGCTGGAGATTAAAGGTTTCATTTGAGTAAGTTTTACTTTTTATGCCTATGTGAATGTCTCTTTAAGTAATTTTAATGGTCTTTATTTTCAGATGGATAAATGTGATTTGTTCAAATCTTCCCTGGCATGTCGACGTATTAAGAAAGTGCAAGGAAGGTGATGAAAATAAGACAATAAGTTCAGAGTCGACAATCTGAGGTAATCAAGCTTTTGAATTTTTTTCACATTAATTAATTAATTTTCTTCTTGGTGACCTAGGTACATGGTATAAGTAATATAAAGTTAATTATATAGTTTCACTTAAGTTCGGCACGGTAAGTGTGTAAATAATACTTAAAAGCAGCTCAAACAATTTTGCCTGAACATTCAAAGTTCACGTGACACCCTTGGTTTTAAAAAATTTCCCTGTCAGCGAATCAGCAACAATACCCTGAATTAAATAACCATTTTTATAAATAATGTCCCATGATGATACATGTACAATGTAGATAACTTTTATATAATTGTATTATAAATAGTAAATCATCAGATTTTCTTGCAGTGATAGAAACCTAAAACTGTAAAAGTAAAGAAATAGTCCAGATTTCCTGAAAGTCAATAACCTACCCTGACCTGGCGATGACCCTAGCTGTCATTTTACTAAATATAAAATATTTTTAAAATCATTTAAAGGTTATGTTCACGCTTTGGTGTTAATAAAATTTTTAAATTTCATTCGTGACAAATTTATATGACATGTATAAACAAAAGAAGAAGGGGAAACTACGATGAAAGGTGTTTTATTGATGCAGAAAATAAAGATTAGTTTTAAAATATACTGGCTTAGCTTTTTAGGGCTGATAACACATTTATTGACAAATATTTTTATCTAAAAAAAATTGTGTTAATACGTATATATAATTGTACAGATTATTGTATGGTTTTAACGCATATTTTACGATATTAATTTTTAAAACATTATTTGCAGAAGTCTCAATTTCATTTATTTTTTATCCAATTTAGTCATTACAATGAAGGCTTTTATGAACTTGAACCATAACAAGGTGCAATTTTAAGTTTAGCCCTAACAAAAATTGCTATAGTTATTTAAACTATGAAAATAGGTCTAATGTATTTCTTGGATTCGACAAGTAAAAAAAAAAAACAAGAAATAAGAAATAAAATTCCAAATTCTGAAGACTTAGCTCTCCTTTACACCTTCTGAGGAAATATCAGTTATAAATCCATAGTTTTAAGTCCCTGTCAGCGTTTATGTTCATTATCTGTCAGTCAAGATAAAAGGTTCCTCGGTAACATTACTATATTATGATTTCGCATTATAACGCAGAAGTTAAAGATTCGCATTTATTCGCGAAAGTTAAATTCGCGAAAGTTTCGTGTTTATACGCGAACGTTACGCCATTTAACGCAGAACTTTCGCGTATGAAAAGTTTTGCGTTATATAACGCCGAAATTTTTTAACTTACGAAAATGAGCTTTGGAAATTCATCTTAAAAACAGATTATAAACTTTTTTCTCTGTCATGTAGCAATTCTGCCACAAGGAATACGATAGCCATGCTCCAAACCCTATATCTGAATCTTCTTGAAAAACAATACTGAATTTATACATGATATCAATGAATAAGTGTTCTTATGTGTACCAGGAACCCTAATACCTAGTGTTTTGTTTAAGTGAAAAGCAAGAGAAAATTGTCTTGTATAGTGAAACAAATATGAAGTGAAAAATCAATTTAATTTATCCTTGATTTTTATCTAACTTTGGAAAGTAAACTTGATCTCAAATCCCTACAATTTGCAGAAGCAGTGTTCATGTAAAGACTGAAAATGTGTTGGTTGTTTATAGTTGTAAAGAGGTGTTATGTTTCGTAAGCTAAAAAAAAAAAAGAAAAGAAAAGAAATGTGATGTCTGATATTTTTTGTATGTCTTAAAGTTTCCCTTATTTACACGTACAGTTTTTTTTAAAAAATGGAAAATTTTGTTTGGATTGTCAACACCACCATCACCACCCCTTATAAAATAACAGCGTTTTTTTTCCTAAGCCTGAAACTGGGTTCTCCATAGTTTTTCTCCAATGTACTCTAGTAAAGATCCAATATAAATTGTCTTAAAAGTTTGCTCATCTTTGATCCATTCATGAGGAATTTATTTTTTTGGCGAATTAACGTACAAATAGACAAAGTATTTTAAAACAATTAAAAATAACTGTCTGTTTTTTATGTGGAATTAAATTCAATGTTTAGTACAGTTAAATTATCAATAATTTTTGTAACCAGTGATTCCGGCTAACAAGTAAAACAAAAATACATGTGAGAATTTACTTTTTAAACAAAGATTTTTTTTTTGTTCCTTGTAAATTTTTATTATAAAACCAGATAAAAGTAAAGGCGCAGCCTCTGACTTTTTAAAGAATAAATCATCGATATATGTGAAAATCCATACCGAATTCTGTGTTTGAAATTACAAAAATTAAATAGGAAAGTAGTCTCGAGAGCATGCAGCAATTGAATTATCAATAATATAAATTGATTCCTTGTAAAACAATATCGTTATCATTTTTTTAAAATCTATGATATAAACATATCTTAAGAAAAATAATATATGTATCTCGAAGTCTGTGTTAAAATACAAAGTAGAACATGCAGCAATACATTTATCTTTTTAGGTCACCTGAGTAAACTCAGGTGACCTATTGCTATCCGTTTTCGTCCGTCGTCGTGCGTCGTTCGTCGTGTGTTAACATTTGAACATTTTCAGCTTCTTCTCTGCAACCACTCAACCAATTTCCATCAAATTTTACACAAAGCATCTATTGGTGAAGGGGAACAAAAATTGTGAATTCCATGGTCCCTGCCCCCAGGGGCCTGAGGGGTGGGGCCAAAACCACTAAAATTAGTGCAATCTTTAAAAATCTTCTTCTTTACTCCTGGACATCAAGCAGTCAAACTGTTAGCATGAATGGAATGACCATTGAGTCTTCTACCAAAATTGTTAAATTTATGGCCCCAGGGTCAGGGGTTCTAGTGCTAGGGTGGGGCTCTATTGATTATATAGTGAAAAAGGCGGGGCTCTATTGGTTATATAGAGAAAATGCAGAAATTGTTTGAAAATCTTCTTCTCTGCTGCTGGGTATTAAATAAACTAACATAGTATATAGTTATGATGAGCATGAATGCCTCTTCCAAAATTGTGAATTTTTATGGCCCCAGGGTCAGGGGTTCTGGTCTTAGGGTGGGGCTCTATTGATTATATAGTAAAAATACATTATTTCTTTAAAAATCTTTTTCTCTGTTCCTGGGTATTAAATAAACTAACTAAGTACATAGTCATGATGAGGAAGAATGCTATTGTGAATTTTATGACCCCGGGATTGGGGGTTCTGGTGTTAGGGTGGGGCTCTATTGGTTATATAGTAAAAATACATTATTTCTTTAAAAATCTTTTTCTCTGCTCCTGGGTATTAAATAAACTATATAGCTAAGTACATTCTCATGAATTGTGAATTTCAATGCCCCTGGGTAAGGGGTAATGCTATTATATACTGAAAATGAATTAATTGATTGAAATTTTCTCTTTTGTATCAATCAAATATTTTCGGCAAGTTAGGGGTTTTCCAAAATTTTGTGTGTGGAGGGTCGGGGTTATGTGTGTTTTATGGCAGAAAATGCAGAAATTGTTCAAATGCATTTTTTTGTTCCCCAATCTTCTTCTCTGCTCCTGGGTATTAAGCAGATGAACTACCTATATAGCTATGATGAGCAAGGGCCATTCTTCCTGAATTGTGAATTTCAATGCCCCTGGGTAAGGGGTACCATAGGGGGGGCTCTACTTATATACTGAAAATGAATTAATTGATTGAAATTTTCTCCTTTGTATCAGTCAAATATTTTCGATAAGCAAGTTAGGGTGCCTTTTCCAAAATTTTGAAATGTGTGGACCAAGGGTCAGGGGTTCATGTGTGGTAGTGGCACTATACTGATTATTGCTGAATATTTCTCTCCATTCAAATTGATTAGTTCGAAATCTCATTTTTTTGTTCCCCTTCTCTGTCTATGGGTATTTAAGTAACCAAAGTAAACATGCTAAGTGTATGATTTATAGCAATGGTGCCGCTTTCAAAATTGTGAATGCCATGATGTGTAGTTTAAACAGTGTTAAAACATGAACCAAAGTCAATCGTTGTAAAGTTGTTGCATTATGCTCAGGTGACCTATAAGGCCCATTGGCCTCTTGTTTATTTATTTATTTATTTATTATTTTTTGAGCTATTCCTCATTAATCTTTTTTTTTCTTTAAGTTCTGACCCAAATATTTTCAATGCCATCCTTGAAAAATATTTACATAAAAAGTATAATTGTGCGTATATTATATTTTTAGATGAAATTATGTTAATATGTATATTTACAACCAAAATAACTACCAAAAGACCGAAAGAAGTCACGCTCGACTTGCCTAAAAATCTGTCAAATTTTTGTAAACAAACCAACTTCCGGTTTTTAAAGGCGAAAATGTTATCACGGTGATAGTGGCCAATTCTTTGCTTTATAAGAAATATAATCAACTCTTAAGATGGCAGAGGATATAGAGGATGTATCATTCCTACCAGGTTAGACAGCATCTTTTTTATTTTTATAACATAATCGATTCAAAATATAATAATGTGTAAACAAGATAATCAGTCTCACAGCTACAGGGGTTTAATATTGCTCCCGGCGTTTAATAATCATTTACTAAAAAATCATATGCCGTATATGATTTTTAATTAAATAAATTATTAAACACCAATAGCAAGCCCCTGTGGTCTGACAGTGGTAATAATACAATCATAATTCATAAAATAAAAATTAAAATGCAGACAAGTGCAAGGAAAAAAAAAGTATTTAAATAATAGCTGTTGCTTCATTTCTTATCTGAAATTAAGCACTTGGTGTGTGTAAAACCTGTTGGTAGCCGCGGTGGAATGAAAATTGATCCTTGTGACAGATGTAAGCCATGCTCAGGGGACGACCTTAGCTGTCGCTTTTCATGAATCTATACAATATTGATTTTTGAGATCAAGATTGTATTACAAGGAAATTTACAATAGGCCTACTTTTTTATTTGTTAAATTATCTTATGTCTCTGCATATACAGTGTTTTTTTTCACCAACACATTTAACAGCATGTTTGACATGATCTCTTCATTTAGATAAATGTACATGTAAACTTTAATTAGGCAGGGTTCTTACTTGGATTTTGCTAATTTAATCTTGGAACTCAAGGTTTCTGAGAAGGTTGATTCCCCAAAATATGCCTTTAATTTGTAAAAAAAAAAAAAATTACATATATTTTTTTGGGTATGGAATACCGGTAGTGGTCCCATGGAATAGTGCTTACATTCTCGCAATACCAGGGGTCCTAATTAGTTAACAAGTACATTGCATAGGGACCCCCTGGCCAATTCTGTCATTTGATATTTTAAGTCTTGCTTCTCTCATTGAGCATCTTGATAATCATTTATGAAGTGAAATTTTATATAATAACTTCCTATTATTATACTTCTGTTAAAATGTTTCCTATATAAAGTTCAGAAGGTAAAATAACTATTCTTCATAGTCTGAAAATTTCCCCGCATAGAAAGCTATACCACCGGGGTATAGTTTTTGCTACCCACCCCTCGGAAAATTTTCATGCAATTTTTGACGCCAATTTTAATTTCTAGCGTTAAATCCATAACCTGATGATGTCATAATGACTTCAGTAGCATTGTGACGTCATCAGGATTTCAGCTCATTCTTGCAGTATAATCTATCTCCAAAGAAAATTTAAACCTTCGAAATTATAATATACATCAGTATAATAAAACACTTATCCAATGGCACTCACAACTCACAACCATTGGATAAGTGTATATTATGTGCATGTGTATAAAACTTTCATCTCTTGGCGATATCTCAGGAAACTTTTATGCTTTTGTAGTGAAATGTTATTTTATATATATGACTCCCTGTGGCACCACCCACCCTTCTTAAAATGTCAGTGCCCCCCTCCAATCTGTGTTTCAATATCTATTTAACTAACTTGAAAGTTAAAACCTCTAAGGCCTTTCTTTAAGTTTATTCTTTGAATAAGCGGGGGGACACACAGATTCTTTGAATTAGCTTTTTGTTATGTGCTTTGTTTTATAATTTATAAATCCTTTGTGTACCATGGATCTGGAGGATAAATGCATATAATTACTAAGAATTAAGGAAATCAAAATTAATCGTGTCATAAAAAATATCAATATAACTTTGTGTTGATTGATATCTCATGGAAAATTGTAAAGCAAAGCTGATACTTAACATTTTTTGTGGTAAAATTTTCTTGATTTCCTGTGGTAGAAATGTACTCTAATAAATAATTTTCAGTATGGATATGATAATTATGGCATTGGTCATATTGCAATATAAATTGACCAAGTTGCTATATAAATTTTAACATGCTGGATTCAGAAACACATTTTAAGCAATATGCAATTTAGTGCAACATATCAGACAGAATATAAAATGATAATCTTGACATAAATACATCAATATAAACATTATGATATTATATTTGATAAATCTTGTATGATTTTTCATGTATGATATTTGTTTTTTTTTAATGTAATTTGAATGTATTTTACTAAGACTTCATTTTTAACAGCAGTTACCAACATTTTGCATGGTAAGCTTTTTCCAAATATCCTAGAATCTGTCAATTAACTTTATGAAATGCTTAGGGCAAGATCTGTTAATATACTACTGTATACATACTGAACAGCTGGTACTGTGTCTGTTTTATCATCTATCTTGATGTTTATATACAAGCACAATTGTCACATTTCAGTATAATTGCCATAGTGACATTCAGTGTACTACCCTCTATTTAAAGGTAATTACATGTATTTGCCTTTAAATGCACAAATGGGTCTGTATTTAGACTGCTGATGTTGTAATTTTGTTAAATGATGTATTTGTAGGTGACTCCTTGAACAGGAAGTCCTTGTATGAGCCCTCTATCCCCCAGCGATGTCGACAACTGGTCTGTAGCCAGCGGAAGGCCACGATCTTTGTTGTAGTGATGGGAGTTTTCATACTCGTAATCGCACTTATTGCTGCGTTTGCCAGATCTGGATCTAGGACCTGTGCGGATCAATCCGCGGAATCAAAGCCATCCAAATCTACTCCGGTGGAAGATTATATTGCCACCAATGGGGAGAAATTCCCATGGAGAGATGTACGACTTCCGACATCAGTTTCTCCATTGGAATATGATATCCACCTTCATCCTAATCTCACAGAAAGAAAGTTTTCAGGAAAAGTGACAATTAAGTGTAAAGTTGTAAAATCAACAGACTTCATTGTATTGCATTCCAAAGATTTAACCATTTCCAAGATTTTGCTGACAGTTGAAAGTGTAGAGAAGAAAATAACAAAGAAATTGGAGTATATTAAAAATGAACAAATGTATTTAAAATTAGAGTCTAGCATTCCTGTTGGGAAAAATATTTTAATAACATTGGATTTTGAAGCAAAGTTGGTAAAGAAGTTGTCTGGATTTTATCTGAGTTCATATGAAGACAGCAAAAAAGTTACAAGGTTTGAGTCAGTTAACAGATTTTTTAATTTCTTCAAATGTATTGAAATCAAATAAGTCAAACTAAAAGATTATGTATGTGTGTTTCTGGTAACACCCCCCTCCTTTAAAAAAAATTTAAAAGGGGGTTCATAATATTAAAATAAATTTTACCTTGGTAGTTGAATTGAAACTAAGTGTATAAAGTGAAATATTCAACTGATATTTGAACTTCTGAAAAGAGTATTGCAGCTACATGCATTGTCCTTGTATTAAATTATAAGTTTTTATACTCATCATGAAAATCAGTACATGTAAATTGCCTGCATAACAATTAAAGGTTGTGTAATTATTGTGTCATAAATATATTTCCAGGTATCTTGCGGTCACACAGTTTGAAGCCACTGCAGCCCGGGAAGCATTTCCATGCTTTGACGAGCCGGCCATGAAAGCAAAGTTTTCTATGTCCATTGTGAGAGATAAAGACTACATTTCACTTTTTAACATGCCCCGGGTATCTTCTAAACCTTACAAAGAGAACCTGGTGTTGGACCAGTTCCAGCAGAGTGTTCAGATGAGCACATACTTGGTGGCATTCATTGTGTGTGACTTTGCCTCCATTACAAATAAAACCAAGGCTGGTACTGATGTAAGTATACAAATAGTAGAAAAGGATTAAAGCAACTAGATGAGATCTCGTTGCGAGCAACGAGTAGGTCTTCCGTTGAATTTATCGATAAGATGAGGTGTGATTTTGATTGAGATATTCGTAATTAGGTAATGAAATTCAATTTTCCATCATTTTTCTGATTTATATCTCAATATTTTGAGCATCTTTAGTTCAATATGGCTTATAATTAAAATATTCCTCCTTTTTGAGATGTAAAGCATCCAAAATATAGAATATTGGCCCCTTGCGACCCCTTATTACGCAACAGCAACATGTATTCAAAATTCTAAAAAACGTTGTTGCAAAGCATTAAGATGAATATCTTTGCTTCAGTAATGTATTACAAAATATTTATCATTCATGAGCTAAAGATGAAAGACTTTTGGCCCCTCTTGGCCCCTAATTTGAGGAGTCAGTCCCTTTTTCTTGATTGTAAATGAAAAGTCTTGTGAAATCAAAGACTTTTTGTTCAACATCTATTCAGAGATTTCTTTTCGTTGTGGAGATATGCTGAATGGAAATATTCAACGGCTACACCTCCAAGTCCTTAATGGGGCCGTTTACAAAATATGCATATTGTTTAAAACATTATTCCGATCATCTTTTGTTCAATATTTCTTATCAAAATATTCGCCCCTTTCGAGATATAAAACCTCAAAGATTTAGCATTCTGAACCCTTGTGACCCCTAATTACGTAACATATGATCAAAATTGTATCATAGTTTGTTGCAAATCGTTAAGATAAATACTTTTGCTTCAGTAATGTATAACAAAATATTGATCATTAGAGAGTTATAGATAAAATATTTTTGGCCCCTCTGAGCCCCTAATTTGAGGGATTGGCCCCATTTTCTTAATATCAAATGAAAGGTCTTGTGATGTTGCACATTTTTTCTTCAATATGCTTTAACAAATTATGAACAGGTGTGAAGATATGAAACAAAATGTGTCAAAGTTTGTGAGATATTTCTGAGACATTTTTTCGGGCCCTACCAAGCGCCGGCGCCTTTTGCGCTAGAAAGATTTGGAGACCCAATTACAACTCACCAAACCTCCTTCTATTTTCACAGAAAATCTTAAGTCGATATCTTATGTCGTTTTGGAGGAGTTTCCAGGACAAGCCGACCCTCTGAAAATCAGAAAATCGTCCATATCTCATGACCGGAAGTGACGTCATCAATATAAAAAATTTCCAATAAGGTTCAGATCAATATCTATTAGATCTGAAAGTTTCAATAAAATCGACCGAGCCGTTTCCGAGAACTCGCGTGCACAAAAATCGGTAAGAAAAAAATAATAATAATAGGGAAAAAGAAACCGAACGAAAACAATAAGGTCTTCCGTTGGAAACGGAAGACCTTAAATACAGACAGAGTGAGACTTTGTCATATTAATTTTATCTTTTAACATAGGACTTTTTGCATAAATTGGTATCATTACAGTGTATACTGGTATACAAGTTCATTATACCCCCCGCAAACGAAGTTTGGGGGGGTATATAGGAATCACCTTGTCCGTCTGTCCGTCTAGCTGTCTGTCCGTCTGTCTGTGCAATCGTGTCCAGTCCATATCTTTCTTACAGAGGGACATTAGAATCTACTACTCCACACAAAGATTGCCCATGACCTAAGGGTGTGTCATGACCTTGACCCAAGGTCATTTGGGGAAGTTCAAGGTCACTGGAAGAAAAATTTCATATCTTTCTTAAATATACTTGGTAGGTTCTCATTTCACACAAAGATTGCCCATGACCCAAGGGTGTGTCATGACCTTGACAAGGTCATTTTGGGAAGTTCTCACTGAAAGAAAAATTTCATTATGGATAAACTTGGTAGGTTGTCATTTCACACAAAGATTGCCCATGACCTAAGATAGTGTCATGACCTTGACCCAAGGTCATTTGGGGAAGTTCAAGGTCACTGGAAGAAAAATTTCATGATTCATGTATGATACATATCTTTCTTATGGATAAACTTGGTAGGTTGTCATTTCACACAAAGATTGCCCATGACCTATGGTAGTGTCATGATCTTGACCCAAGGTCATTTAGGGAAGTTCAAGGTCACTGAAAGAAAAATTTCATAATTCGTGTCTGGTCCATATCTTTCTTATGGATAAACTTGGTAGGTTGTCATTTCACACAAAGATTGCCCATGACCTACGGTAGTGTCATGACCTTGACCCAAGGTCATTTGGGGAAGTTCAAGGTCACTGGAAGAAATATTTCATAATTCGTGTCCGGTCTATATCTTTCTTATGGATAAACTTGGTAGGTTGTCATTTCACACAAAGATAGCCCATGGCCCGAGGGTTTGTCATGACCTTAACCCAAGGTCACTTAGGGAAGTTCAAGGTCACTGGAAGAAAAATTTCATAATTCGTGTCCGTTCCATATCTTTCTTATGGATAAACTTGGTAGGTTCTCATTTCACACAAAGATGCATATGACCCAAGGGTGTGTGGTGACCTTGACCCAAGGTCATTTGGGGAAGTTCAAGGTCACTGGAAGAAAAATTTCATAATTCATGTATGATACATATCTTTATTATAGAAAAACTTACTTCTGAAAAACCCAGCAGGGGGTATTTTGTCCTGTTTAGACAGTTCTAGTTTATTTACTGACTTATCAGTAATTTGAAGTGTTATGTTTAAAACCATGGGGAAATCATAACACAAATTATGAGTTGTACAATATGTTTGATATAATAAATTGAATTCATAACACAAATTATGAGTTGTACAATATGTTTAATAAAATAAATTGAAATAAATTATTTTTTATACTCATGTAATCGTTTATACATATTTTTACTGACTTTCTTTATGTTACATACAGGTGACAGTGTATGCTCCTAGAGACCAGATAGATGAGGCACACTTTGCTTTACATGTGGCTGTTACTGTATTAGAGTGCTACAATAAACTGTTTGACATTCCATATCCTTTGCCAAAACAAGGTACAATGATCATGTATTAAAATTACTCAGAGTTTTAAATTCAAATTTTTGTGCCCCTTGTTGTGCTGCAATTGTTTGATTTGGTTAAAATATTCAGTTTAAGGTTGTATTCTCCTAAAAATATATAACTATGTATACTGTAAATCACTTTTTATTCGCGAGAACTTTATTTTCGCGTAATAACGCGAGACTGTATGCTCGCGAAAATTTCATTCTCGCGTATAATAGATTTCCTCAAGAATATATAAAGCAATAACCACAATTCGTGAAAATTTTGTCTCGCTTATAAAGAGTCCATGACTATCTCGCGAAAATAAGGTTTCGCGAAAATTAAGTGATCTACAGTATTAAAAGCAACTTTATGATTTGTACCCTAACATGGAATTTATTACTTTCTGCTAAAGTACCGGTAATTAAAATTTGGCAAAGTATACATTTACATTTAGGTTTAAATTTTTCTTTTTTTTCAATGCTAAAATTTTCCTGTTTTTTGTAGATTTAGTAGCCATACCTGATTTCTCATCTGGAGCTATGGAGAACTGGGGACTGATAACGTACAGAATGACAGCAGTGCTGTATGATCCTAAACACTCCTCAACTCGCGACAAGGAGTGGGTCGCCATAGTTGTGGCTCATGAACTCGCTCATCAGGTGAACACTGAAAATTTTTTAAGTAATGTACTTAATTCTATGTGTATACTCCAATAAAATGATAGAACAATGCTTATTAATTAAAAGAGGAAAGGTCCACTATGTAAAAATGGAAATATTAATGTGATTATGACAGTTTTTCTCACAGGAAATAGGGATTTATAAAATTCATGCAAAAAAGAGTATGTTGTTGGACCTAATTATTAACAATGAAATTTTTGAATGTAAAGGAAATGTGTGTGTGTGTGTTTTTTTTTAAATTAAGAGTTATTGCCCTTTAAATCATGTACATATTGTACAACCAAATGAAAAAAACAGCTGTAGTCACAGCCTCACGGCTAAATTATATTGTATAAAGTTATTTTGTGGGTAATGACCTTACGTTGATCTTTTGGCAGTGGTTTGGAAACTTGGTGACAATGGAGTGGTGGGATGACTTGTGGCTCAACGAAGGGTTTGCGACATTTGTAGAATACCTGGGGACAGAATCACTGAAAGAATCCTGGGCAATGGTGAGAGGCTGGAAAACTCAGAAGGGAGATAATTCTGATGATTATGTTTACGTGAACATCAAAGCTAAATTTTTCATTCAAATGATTTGAATGTATATTATTATTTAAAATTTAAGTTTGATACAGGAGGAAGGTTTGAGATACAAATCTGGTTCTCTTTCAGGAGAACCAGTTTTTTGAGCTGACCTTGATTCCAGCCCTGAAGCGGGATAGTTTGAAGAGCTCCCACCCTATAGCCACACCTGTCCATAACCCAGACCAGATTAATGACTTGTTTGACTCCATTTCCTATTTCAAGGTACATGTAGTTATCACTACTGTAGATCACAAAATTTTCGCGACACCTTATTTTCTCGATTTTATAGCCATTGACTCTTGATTAGCGAGACAAAATTTTCACGAATAGTGGTTATTGCTCTATATAATCTTAAGGAATGCTATTATACGCAAGTTATATATTTTTGTGAGCACACTGTCTTGCGTAATTAGGCGAAAATAAAGTTTTTGCATATAAAAAGTGATGTACAGTAATTCAGGGGTTAAATACAAACCCGGCTGATAATGTAGAACCTCTATGCAGTCATAAGCCAAAGCTTGCCTGTGTGTTTGATGGTTAAAAATATTATAGTTATGATAATCATCTGATCTCTGTTTTTCTTTTAGGGAGCCTCTGTTATTAGAATGTTGAGAAGTTTTCTTGGGAATGCTGATTTCAACAGTGGCATTAGTAATTACCTGAAGAAATACAAATACAGTAATGCAGTAACTAATGACTTGTGGCAGGCCCTATCAGAGGTTAATATATTTATATTTACATTCAGATGGAAGTTCTCAGTATAGATTGAGTTTGTTGATTTTTAAAAAAAAAATGATCTTCAGATTTAGAAAAAATTCAGGTGTAACTACTTTTTATATAAATCAATAAATACATATTTCCTCTCACCTTTTTATTTATTGAACAATACAGGAAGAAATTCTTCAATTAGAAATATTATATGTTTCTTTTGAAAATTGAATGGCAGTATTTATGTTGGATTCATGTTTTTTGTACTATCACATACCAGGCTTCAAAGCAGAAAATCGATGTTACTTCAGTGATGAACACATGGACTAAACAGATGGGGTACCCTGTCGTTACGGTGACTCGACAGGAGTCAAAGGTCAGCCTCACTCAGAGTCGCTATCTCAGCTTCCATAACTCAACCATCAAAGAAGAATTTCAGTCTCCATTCAGGTTGTACTTTGTTGACAGTCTCCTCACATTTTTTTAAAATGTCTTCCTGACTTGTCGGTACGGGTATAACTTACATATCCGATTTTGTACAAATTCATACTACATAACCCGATTATTTTTTATGACCCGGCGGGTCATGCTTTTCATAAGACTATAAGAGTCATTGATATATTACGGATTTGCATTCATGTTTTCTTTTTAACAGTTACAAATGGCATGTGCCTTTTATATACGGTGTGATGGATCATAATGGAAAATTTACCCAGAACAAAATATGGCTACACATGACATCAGGTATTATTTTATTCTCCTTTAAATTAATTCATTATTTTCATGAAAGTAGAATTCATTCACAATGTAATATTTATTGAATAAGCAGTGATTTATATACATGTACATATATCATTGAAAAATGCATAACTGTGTATATCACACAATTGGAATGAAGGAATCTTAATATGATATTATCACAAGGTATTTTCAATATTATAAAAGATAGTTGATTATTTGTTGTAGCTTCTGTAGATTTGGATAGCAATATAAAGTTGATAAAGGGTAACTATGGTAACAGTGGATATTACCGAGTGAACTATGACACAGGTACCTGGCAGACATTAATACAACAACTAAACAACAATCACAAGGTGAAGATATTTATCTGATAAAATATCAAGTTTGGTCATAGTATTATGAAAAGTTTTAGAAATGTGTTGATTTTCTGCTGGTAAAAATAATTCTTATCTTTCAGGTATTTTCTCAAGGGGACAGGGCAGGGTTGATTAGCGATGCATTTGAATTTGCAAGGTTAGTTCACCTTTAGCTTATGGCTATAATCCGATTATAGGCACTGATAGCTTTCTTCATTTTGATTATGCTTGCCCTACAAGATGGCACATGCATGGTGCTGTCATGGCTAACTATCTGTTCTTGCATGCAAACACAAAATAATGTCATGATTTCATAGTCAGTAGAATACATGACACAAAAACTTACTAGAAAATTATCCAAAGCTTTAGAAGTAGCATTACATAACTTCTGACATTTGAAAAGCTAATGAGCTCTGTATATATTGAGATCATTATTATATGATTCTGTTTACAGATCAGGACTTCTGAATGTCACAATTCCTCTGCAAATGACAAAATACCTAGAGAATGAGGAGGACTACCTCCCCTGGAGTTCAGCTATTTCTGGTCTGACCTACATAAAACAAAGGATACAAGACAGAGATGAGGTCACACTCCTCAAGGTCAGTAAATTAGGATCAAGGGCATTTAAAGTCATTCAAATTTTGAGTTTTTTTATGTTGATAATTTTTAAGTAGTGTTTTTAGCTCTACTGGTCAGAGACCAGAAGAGCTTATGCGATAGTAATGCGTCTTTTTCAAAATGCTACTCCTCCTACAGTTTTGATCTGATTTCAATATAACTTGGCATATAAGTAGACTACACTAAGATACATAATTCTGTGTATCGGTTTTTGATTTCGACGAACGGTGTTGGCGTTGTTACTAAAAATAGAAATTTCTATGAAATTCTTTCAAAATGCTACTCCTCCTACAGTTTTGATCTGATTTCAATATAACCTGGCACACAAGTAGACTACACTAAGATACATAATTCTCTATATCGGTTTTTGATTTCGACGAACGGTGTTGGCGTTGTTACTAAAAATAGAAATTTCTGTGAAATTCTTTCAAAATGCTACTCCTCCTACAGTTTTGGTCTGATTTCAATATAACTTGGCACACAAGTAGACTACACTAAGATATATAATTCTGTGTATCGGTTTTTGATTTCGACGAACGGTGTTGGCGTTGTTACTAAAAATAGAAATTTCTGTAAAATTCTTTCAAAATGCTACTCCTCCTACAGTTTTGGTATGATTTCGATATAACTTGGCACACAGGTATACTACACTAAGATGCATAATTCTGTGTATCGGTTTTTGATTTCGACGAACGGTGTTGGCGTTGTTACTAAAAATAGAAATTTCTATGAAATTCTTTCAAAATGCTACTCCTCCTACAGTTTTGATCTGATTTCAATATAACCTGGCACACAAGTAGACTACACTAAGATACATAATTCTGTTTATCGGTTTTTGATTTCGACGAACGGTGTTGGCGTTGTTACTAAAAATAGAAATTTCTGTGAAATTCTTTCAAAATGCTACTCCTCCTACAGTTTTGGTCTGATTTCAATATAACTTGGCACACAAGTAGACTAACTAAGATACATAATTCTGTGTATTGGTTTTTGATTTCGACGAACGATGTTGGCGTTGTTACTAAAAATAGACATTTCTGTAAAATTCTTTCAAAATGCTACTCCCCCTACAGTTTTGGTATGATTTCAATATAACTTGGCACACAGGTATACTACACTAAGATACATAATTCTGTGTATCGGTTTTTGATTTCGATGAACGGTGTTGGCATTGTTACTAAAAATAGAAATTTCTATTACATTCTTTCAAAATGCTACTCCTCCTACAGTTTTGATCTAATTTCAATATAACCTGGCACACAAGTAGACTACACTAAGATACATAATTCTGTGTATCGGTTTTTGATTTCGACGAACGGTGTTGGCGTTGTTACTAAAAATAGAAATTTCTGTGAAATTCTTTCAAAATGCTACTCCCCCTACAGTTTTGGTATGATTTCAATATAACTTGGCACACAGGTATACTACACTAAGATACATAATTCTGTGTATCGGTTTTTGATTTTGACGAACGGTGTTGGCGTTGTTACTAAAAATAGAAATTTCTGTGAAATTCTTTCAAAATGCTACTCCTCCTACAGTTTTGGTCTGATTTCAATATAACTTGGCACACAAGTAGACTACACTAAGATACATAATTCTGTATATCGGTTTTTGATTTTGACGAACGGTGTTGGCGTTGTTACTAAAAATAGAAATTTCTGTGAATTTTTTTCAAAATGCTACTCCTCCTACAGTTTTCGTCTGATTTCAATATAACTTGGCACACAAGTAGACTACACTAAGGTACATAATTCTTTATATCCGTTTTTGACTTCAATGAACATTATTACCTTGCTTAATAAAGATAGCAATTTCTGTTACTCTCAGAATGCTACTTCAAATACAGTTTTAGTCTGATTATAATATAATGTGGCATGCAAGTAGACTACACTAAGAACATAAAGAGACTTATTCAAGGATCATTATTTTTTTCGCTAGTGTAAAATTTCAATTCCCAACTGCTTAAGTACTTTCCTTTGCTATAAGTACAAACCAGTAGAGCTTCAGTCTCGATAGAGACTTCTGGTTTCAAATGCTGTTTGTGTTGTGCTGTTTTTATTTAAGAGTTTTCAAATATTTACAGAAGTATGTTTTGAAATTAATGGAAAATCAACTGAAAAGGCTTGGATGGAAAAGTGAAGGAGAGTATTTAACAAGGTATTTTAAATAAGGCCATTTGAGGATTTCAGAATATAGGTGTGACTTGTTCATGTAGTTAAAATAAAAAAGAAATCAAAATTTAAGATTTGGAAAGAATAATTCAAAATACATGTTTATTATAGTACATGTACCATATATGTTTAAAATGTGGATATTTACATGTAAATATGGTCATAGAGTAAGTTCTTTTCTGTATAGAGATTGAAGAAAAAGTATTTTCTTTCCTTTTTAGGCGTCTCCGTACACTGCTTATATATGTCGCATTAGAATACGGAAAACAGGATGTAGTGAAAAAAGCCACCGATCGATTTAAACAATGGATGAAAAATACAGACCAGTAAGAGATCATTCAGTTTAATCTTGAAAATAATGAACATGTAACACCAGACATTGAAATGGCCAGAATAAAAAAAATTATGCAGTGTCTCAAAATTTATTTGGTTAAAAGAGAAGAAAAACAGAAGTTTCAAGAGGAATTTTTTTTCTTAGATGTTATGCTAAACCTTTTAAAATCTTCAGCATATGTCATATTGCTCTAAAAATTTACTCATATTTCATTTTCCATTTTCAGGATAGATCCAGAGCTGCAGGATGTGATTTTTGATGCCGGTGTTATGTATGGTTCAGAAGCAGATTGGACTTTTGTCAAGAACCAATACTTAACTGTTCTGGTACCGTCAAAGAAAAAACAGTTAATGAAAGCTCTGGCAAAATCTAAAGACGACTCCATACTTGCAAGGTAGGACGAAAATCAATCATGAGCTAGAATAGACATAATTACTTTAATTATTATTGGAATTTTAGTACAAATATTTCTTGGACATTAGTGGTACAATGTTTAGATACTGGAATAATTAATTGATGTCTTGCTCAGTCAAATCTTTGTCAGGTACTTGATATATTTTAGAGGAAATATTATTTGAAAATTTGTTTCATTTCTTACATTTATAAATAAGCACAGACTTCTGTTAAAAATTAACAAATAGATTTTAATGTTTATTGTCCAATACAATGTGTTTTAAAAGTGATTATATATTTTTGCAGGTATCTGAATTATGCTCTGGACAGTAAAATCATTAAACACCAAGACATTGCCACCGTGATCAACTATGTGGGAGGAAATACAGATGGAAGGCTCTTAGCATGGAGATTTGTTCAAAGGAACTGGCAAAAGCTACGGAAATGGTATGAAATCACTTATTTTCATGATGGTTCAAATGGAAATTAGAATATCATTTTAGAATGAATGACAAGGTCAAAATCTTGATATCCAATGAAAGGTCTTGTCACAAGGTTTAAGTATGTGAAGTATGAAAGCCCTAGCCCTAACCCTTCAAAAGTTATGGTCAAGATTTGTTTTTTAAAAGTAGGTCAAATGTGAAGGTTAAAGGGTCAAAGTTCTTGGTATCCAATGAAAGGTCTTCTCACAAAGATTACATATGTGAAGTATGAAAGCCCTAGCCCTAGCCTTTTAAAGGTTATGGCCAAGGTAAAAGTTTTTTTCATAAGTACGGGAATCATCAAGGTCAAAAGGTCTTGCCACAAAGAATACATGTGTGAAGTATGAAAGTCCTAGTATCTACTGTTTAAAAGTTTTGGCCAAAGTTAAAGTTTGGAATTTTTGTGTAAAAGTGGGTCAAACTTCAAGGTCAAGGTAAAAGGTCAAATTTGGTGATACCCAAATAAAGGTCTTGTCACAAGGAATACACATGTGAAATATGAAGTCATAGCTCCTCAAAATCAAAAGTTATGGGCAAGGTTAAAGTTTTTGTGATGGACGGACAGACTGACAGAGGAATGAGATTAAATATCCCCTCGCTTTCGCGAAAGTGGTGGACAATAATAGCGCACATAAAGAAAAAAATAATGTGCATTCTGTCATATCATTTTTTTTATTAGCACATTTTACACAATTGATAATGTTGAACAAAATTAAATGCATAGCAAACCAACCTTATGAAGTTCTTTCCATAATGTCTGCAAATTGTAACATTTAGATGGAGTCAACTTAAAATTGCTGCAGCAATGGCAAAAAAAGTATTGATTAGTAATAATACACTGTAAATTAAGTGTCTTTGCATAAACAGTTATGTATTGATGATCTTAAAGAGGATGAATTGTATTTCAGGTTTGGAGATGTCCCCTTCACTCTCTCTAGCATTATAGAGGGCAGCACAAGTGAATTTTCTACCCAGTTTGATCTGGAGGAGGTAAGATTTTTTAAAATATCAAATCAAACATCCAGCATGAATTCATATAAATTTTAAACATTTAAAAAATCCTTCTTTCTTTGATAATGCAAAAAGAGCAATATGTTCCCTCCCACTCCTTAAACCAGCAAACATAAAAAAATAATTTACAAGCTAAAGTAATAAAAGCATCTTAATATTACAGGTTCAGAAATTTTTCCAAGAACATGATGCAGGACCAGGGACAAGGTCAGTACAGATGGCGCTAGAAAATATACAGATGAACACACAATGGCTGGAGCAGAATGGGGAAACTGTCATAACATGGCTACAGACAAACACAACATAGGAGTTCTAGCTAGTCAGTAAAATTAGTCTACATTTAGAAAGCAATGTAGAGGTTGTATCTGCATCAAATGTTCATTAATTGCAAAGATTGTAAAAATCACAGTTAACTATTAATTAGATAAGATCTCACAGGAGCAGCAGTGGAATGTGTTTTTAGTTGACTACTGTGTTTGAAAAACTATCTGTAATTAGTAAATTATTTTTTTTAATTTGGTATTTTCAGGTATATTTTTGTGTTTATCATATTTTATAACACTTGCAATTTGTACTTAAGAATCAAAGATACTGAACTTTAGATATTACAGAATATAACCATACACAAAATATTATTGTACAAAAATGTTATTGATTTGGGAATGGAAATGGCTTTAATTATTATATTACTAAAGTCTCAGATTTTGATTAAAGTTTTGCCCTTTTTAAATCAGAACTGCTGAAATTTTGAATATTAAATTTGACACTACACAATAAAAAAAAAGAAATACATGTAGATATTTGAAATCGTTTAAAAAAAAAAACAACAAGATGTCCCAGTTGCTTCCCCCCTATACCCCCCCCCCCCTTTAAAAAAAAATCATGAATATTTAAAGCCAAAATGAGCAATTGGGAATCTTGAAGGTAATTTTGATTATTAAAGAAATTGTGTTAAGATTAGTTTAATATTTCTTGTATGGGCAAAATGAAATTCATCCTTTATTTAAAAGGAATATTTGAATTAATTTGATATACTAGCTAGTATATATATTTTTCATATTTGAGAACCTTTTTTTTTTAACAATGTCTATGATAATTCACTGTAACTGCTTTGTTAACTTGAAATACCTGTACATGTTAGATAGTTGGTATGTGATACTGTGCAGTCAGTCAATGTTTGATGATCCAAATGTTACTGGTTAGTTGGGACGAACATTTTGTGCGTAACTTGTACATGTAAAAACAGAAGACACAATGACTCAATGCATTAAGAAACTTAGATTTTGAAGACAGCTCCCATGAACAAGATGGTTCAACAGTTATTACTATAAAAAAAATAACTTGTGCATGGAAAATTTCAATTGGGAAAATTGATGGGACAGTGCAATTCTGTTGTGATAAAGTTAACCATTGCATGTAATGATTTTTGACTTTGTTTGTTGAATGTTTTATGCAACCTTTCAGTCAGGTGACAAAATTTGAACTAGTTGAATGGATCTGTTTCGTGTTTAGTAGGAATTTGGGTGGGGTTAACCTTATTAAATTGTTTTGTTTTCAGGTGTGCTTTCTGTGAATTTTAAATGCATAAATACAAATGTAGTGATATTATTACTAAGACACTCCACATTCCAATTTTATTGAGTACTGAGATAAAATCATTGAGGTGCAATATTATTTGAAGCTGACAATGTTTACTTATTGCTTTTATATGCTGATAAAATCATGTATTGTTTATTTTTTTCTTTCCCTTTTTTGTTTGCAATTCTTTATTTTATTCATAAGCATCTTTTACAATCATGTGCATGTTTTTTGTGAATTTCTTATGTTTAATTTTTGTTTTTGTTGTTTTTGTAACTTACTAGCTTTTTTCAATCAAAATGTTTTAAAAACCTTGTTCAGACAATTATTTATTTTTTGGGCTAATTACATTGAATTTAGTGTCTGATAATGAAAGAAAATCAACTTTTGTCACATTTCTTGTCTATATTTATGAACAAACTGATCTTTTAATAAGATTTAACAATTGTATATGACATCTACAACTTCAGAGATACCTCTATTTTTTTTTTTAGATTATCATTTGTATTTCTTTGGTAATTTGTATAACTAATACTTTGAATATTGTCAGATGTCAATGAGAAGTCAATTAGTCTATAAGACTGACCAAAGGAAGATAGAAATAGGATAGATGAAGTTATGTTTTTGGCAGGTCTGTACATTACAATACTCTCTTTAATAAGTACACTTTGATTTTTGTTAAAATGAAAAAAAAAATTGTCTTTCAAAGATAACATTAGAATAAAACATTTTGTCTATAATTATGATATATATATTAACTCTAAAATGTTGTTTTTCCTTGAATATAAATCTCCAATTGTTGTGTTTTTTATGTTGTCTTGTTTTTTATTGTGATTTCATGTTGAAAGTTATGCTTATTAAAAAGAAAAGAAAAGCTGAATTTATGTTTTTGTTACATATTTAAAAGAGAAAAACAATATTTTCTCCATAGAACAGATACAAACATGTATAAATTAGTTTCTGCATCAGTTTAATATATTGCCTTTTGAGAGACATTTCAGAAATACACAGACGTTTTGTCATTTATCTTTGTATCATTACAAATGGTCATGGAAAAACAAATCTTGATGGTCCTTAAGAGAGAGAGCATTTGAAACATGAGACAGACATGTCCCAATTTTATCTAGTAAGATAATGTAGCATCATACTATTTAATATTCAAAACAACAACACTTGTCTCTTAAAATTTCTTTTAAACCCGTATCAAACTTTTACGAGTCTTAACCCTTCCTCCACCAGGGATGGGTGTGTGTGTTATATTACAGGGAAAATTGTTCAAGATATATCCATGATCAAATTTCTACTGATACAATTTATTAGAGCAATGTAACTGACTGTCAATCTTTCACGTGCTTTAGAGAGAGGGCTCAAATTGGCTTTTCCTGCTCATTCACTTTTTGTGAAGAAAATTAGTATAACTTAAATATTTAACATGCTTGAACTTTCTCCAAAATATTAGATGATGATGCCTGAAATTTTATGATGAAGATTGTAAAATGATTTCATGTTATCGTTTAAACGCTCTATATCAACTTCCATTCTAAACTATCGTTATTATACCGTCAATTGTCTCTTTATACGCGTGGGATATATAAGCTGGGGTAAAAAGTTACATATCTGGTAAACTGACATAAATTTGAAAAGTATTATCTGCACGATTATTTCTGGGAATGCATGATGAACTGAGAAAGCTTTTCTGAATGTCACAGCAAAATTGTCGTCAAACTTTATTATGGTAATTTTCACGTATTCAATTAAGTCTTATTATAGAGTAATATGTACATGAAAGCATCTGTTTTACGAGAAGGATACTAATATGAGTCAAGTAAATAATTATTATAGTAATATAATATAGTAATAGTGTGTGTTAAATTTCAACGCATTGGGATCTAGAAGGTAGATATGGTGGTCTTCACAATTCTTATTACTAGTGCTGTTTTTGTTTCTTACCTGGGATCCATAGTCTGTTTTACCCAGAGAAGAGATCTGCCAATATCAACTGATGCATTGTCAGGACACAACCTGAATTCAAACAGCGAGGAAATCCCATGGAATGATATCCGACTTCCAAAATCAATCATTCCAATCGAATACGACATATTTTTGCATCCCAACCTCACAACATGGGAATATTTTGGCAGAATGGAAATAAAATGTGTGGTTCGTAACACAACGAATTTCTTTGTTCTTCATTCCAAACGCTTGGTCCTCTCTACGTTTACAGTAGAATCCTTACCTACCAACGAAACGAACAAAGTTGAAAGATACTTTTATAACATTCGGACTGACCAGCTTTATGTTGAGGTAGAGAACAGTTTACTCCAAGATACAGAAATTGTAATCAAGATTGAATTCAAAGGAAGTTTGAAGAATTGGAATGGATATGGCTTCTTTGCATTTGAATACTTTGACACAGACAACGTCACAAGGTACTGTTATAATCGTAAGCTTTGAATAAACTTAAAAATGCTGTTAGTTGTACTTCACTTTAATGAAAAAATAATATCATATGTAATATAAATTATAATATTTCACACCTTTCCAGAGTAATGGCCTCTACTATGTTTGAACCAATAGGAGCCCGTCAGGCATTCCCATGTTTTGACGAACCAGAGATGAAGGCCATGTTTTCTATCGCAATAGTTCGGGACCGTACCTATATTTCCCTTTTCAACATGCCTTTGATACATTCTACGCCATTTGGGGATAACCTTCTATTGGACACTTACCAGAGGAGTGTCAGGATGAGCACATACCTGGTGGCTTTTGCTGTGTGTGACTATGCATCCCTGTCAGGTCAAAGCAAAACTGGCATAAATGTGAGAACATGTTAATATTTACTATTTTAATTAATTGTAATTTTTGTACTAATGTAGAAGACGAAAAATCTTTATGTTTACTTTGAAATATGATATGTGAAAATAACAAACAACGATCACTCTCAAAAATCTGTTGAAAAAAAAACAATACAAGCTATGAGCAGGGCCATAAAACGGCCGTGGGATCGGGTTCCATTGAAGATGAGCATCCTTTGCTAACCGTTACACGTTGTCATGATGGGGTGAACGTAGAGAATTCATTGTGAAAAATACAAAGAGTGTCCGCATTCGTCTGTTAGGCTTTGAGGTATCCATCTATCTACAACTCTTCTTATACCACTGAATGAAATTTAATGAGACTCTCACAGAATCTTTGTTTAATAGTGCCATTGTGACCTCCTTTTGGGCACATATTTTGGGTTTCCCGTAGCAAAACATGGACTCTACTATTCTTTCTATAATTTTGAAGGTTACCCATCTCTTATCCACAACTTCTCCTATACCACTGAATAAAATTTAATAATACTTCCACAGATCCTTTATTACATAATACCATTGTGTACCATCTATTTTACTTTTTGATATGTTACTATTCTTTCTTGTGTACATCTTGAGGGGGTGGAAAGATGCGTGGTTCCATCCTCAGGTGGATCCTCCTTCAATGGTTGTTTCGGCGCTCTCCACTACGGCCTCAAGAGGTGCGCCGACTGGGGTAATCAGGTCTCAGCCCAGAATCACTTGGCTCTACATCACTGCTGTTCTATTTTGATGTTTTTACCACTATTGTTTATTGCCTTTCCACTTCTCTACTCTTCTTCTCCAAAACCACACAGATGCTGATTCCGCCTTCCTGCACAAATTCCCTATGAATCTCCTTCTCTCTGCACCAGATATGCCAATGGCTCTCAGTGCCCACCACATAGACTGTCCATGAATCCTCTACACCCCACTTCTGCTGCAAAAAACCAGACCTTCCATTCGACTGACAATCCTTCACTAGTTCTTTGTACTTTCCTCTCGTATGCATACTCTATTCTGTATTACCATGACACTGTTAATTTCCAAATAATTGTCTTTCTTGTTGCCACTGACCAAATAACTGACACTTAGTTTTGGTCTCCCAGAGCAAAACATGGACTTTGCCACTACATATATATTTACATGGGAGGCGGGATGTATCATTTAGTGATTTAGTGATCATAGCACCTCTTGTTGTATTTGCCATAGAATTTGCGATTTGTTGAATTTAAGCGAGAGCTTTTGTATCCTTGTATCATATTGATATTTTCAATAACCTGCTTCGTTTAAAAATCGTTTCTACGTGTAGCGCATACTCTTTCGTATCAAATCCTGTGTGAGACATAAACTCAATATGCAGATCAAAGTGAATTGTTGCTACATAAATAAGAAGGATCTACGCTAGAAAAATTGAAGTCATCCAGTTTATCATAAAGTTTCGTTGTCACTTTCTCATCATTGTCTTTCTTAAGAAAAACAGCCAAATATGGCTGATAAGAGCTGATAAGGACAATAACGTTCTAAAATTGAAAGTTTGCGAGGGGAAAAGTTTAAATGATCTTATTTTATTTTTAAGATGATCTCTAATATTCAACAAGAAAAATTTTCTTGTAGGTAACAGTGTACACCCCACATCATAAAATTGACCTTGCTCATTATGCTCTTCATGTAGCTGTAACAGTTTTGGATTATTTTGACAATCTCTTCGGCATTGCATACCCCATTCCAAAACTAGGTATTTGGTTTCTTTGGCAATATCCAGTTTATGCAAAAAATAAACTCTTATTCTGATATCAGTAGATAGTTTACAATAAAAATGAAAACGTGATCTTCAATGTTTGATATCAAGGCATTCTTATTCCAAAAAGTCTTGAACGCCAAGAAAATTATGTCCTGGAAAATTGAATCTGTTTTCTAAATATGGATTATTGCATTTTGTTTATTCTTTGTAGATTTAATAGCTGTTCCACATCTTAAAGGCGTAGCTATTGAAAACTGGGGGTTGATAATGTCCGACATGTCTGCACTTTTGTATGATCCGCTTCATCCAAAATATAAAGACATGCATCTGGTAACCTTGATAGTGACCCATGAAGTAGCTCACCAGGCAAGGCAAACTTTTGATAAGTAAAAACTGTTTCTGAAAAAATATTAATAAGTGGATAATAGTTAGTAGCCAAGAGTTGCTTTTTCAAGCTTTGTTAAGGCTGTTGAACACATTTTTGTATTGTTAAATTCAGCCTGTATTAGGAAACAAAATCCTGAACCAACCACCAATAATGGGGACCAACCACCAATAATAATACAATATTTTCCTGTCGATATCATTTTCTATATCTCCATTCTCATGCAGATATTTTAATTCAAGTCATTCTATATATGATGTACTAGCATTCCTAGTTGAAAGAGGCGTATACATGTATCATTCCCAGGACATGTCCTTAAGAAGCAAATTTAGCTTGTGACACAACCAAATATTTCCAGTTTGAGTTCATTCCACCCAAAGTTAGAAAAACTTTGACCGGATATCGTTTCCTAGTTTTAATGTTAAGGGAAGCTGGCCTGTATGATATGACATTGAGTCTAGCTATTGGATTAACTGTTCACAGACAACAACAAATGAAATATACGCTGCAACCATCGTTTTTAACTCAGTTCCCTGTTTGATACTGTGACATAAAGGATGGTTACACCGAAATTTACTTTTGTTCTGTAGGGTGAAAAATTTCTGTTTAAAAATTAGTCTCGTTGAAAAATTAATCTATGTCTCACTGGTAAATTAGTTAGTAGAATTAGTCCAGAAAGATTTGAATTTCAGTGGTTTGGTAATCTAGTTACCATGCAGTGGTGGAATGACCTTTGGCTGAATGAGGGACTCAGCACCTATATGTCGTATGTTGGAATGCAGGCAGTGAACGACACCTGGAGTGTGGTAAGACTCACAGACCAATAGCCCACTTTATTCTCTTTTTTTATGTAGTCTATAATTGAGCAAGTTTGAAGTGATCATGATTCTTACAATATCTTCAATCATTTTATACATTTTTTGCAGGAAAATGAATTCATGATGCGGTCGGTATCAATGAATTGTGAATATGTAAAAGGCTATCCTCCATTAGTTCATCCTGTCATGGTCCCAGATGAGACAGAATTTAACTGTATGGTGTATGCCAAGGTAAAGAGGAGGTTACATTCTAATATATTTGATGGTCAATCGAGTTGTTCAATACGTTATTTTTAAAGTTTTATTGACATATTTCTTAACACATGAATTAATTATGTTTTCTAGTCCTTCACATATATATTTTTTGTATATTTTATTTATAGGGAGGGGCTTTTATTAATATGCTCCGAAGTGTGTTGGGTCAAGAAAACTTTAACAGTGGCATAAAGAGTTATATAGAGAGGAATAAATACAGTTCTGTTGTGACGGACGACCTCTGGCAAGCATTATCAAATGTAAGTCAGGGTCTTGAACCTTTTTAAAGATCTAGAACAGGCATCTGTAAATTGTAGAAAATGTCATTTTACCTTTTGATATGTTTGAGTCTTAGGGTAATAGCACAAAATGATCTTAATAGCACGAACATCCAATTATGTTTTTGCAAAATGCCTTTTCGATCCACTTTTTATTCAAATATCCATTTCACTACCATTTCTGATAATCAATTTTATTGCATCTTCAACTTACAAGTTTTGTTTAGCATTCTTTATCCTTAGTAGATATCAATCTCCCTTCTGTTTAAATTATTTCCACATCTTTAGTTCTGATAGATATTCTTGTCCTATCGATGTAACACTTTGCTGATATGAGTCATTTTCAAAATTTGTCCAAATTCCAACACCAGTATTTTGCAAAAATAAATGTGGCAATCTAAACTTTTTAAAGTTTTATTTTAGCATTCAAACATCATAGATGCATAAACAATGTTAAAGCACAAAGAATTCTATTAACATATACTAAAAAAAACATCATATGTACATGGGCCCAACAATAAATGTCCATGGTGTTACTTAGTTAAAAGTCATAGTAAAATCATAGTTAAAAAAAAATTAAGGTTTTTAGAATAACAATCTCAACATAGTGATAAAATTATTCTATTGAATCAAACTGAAGTTTCATAACAGAAAATTATCAGATAAAGTATAGCTGGAAGTTGTAAGTGTTGTAACTTTTGTATATATCTTACACGTTTACTTAAGGCATACATCATTTACCTCAGCACAAAATACTTGCTTTGCAAATAAACTTAGTATTAGAAAACGACAGTATTGTGTTGCAAGTTTCGATAAAATTGTATAAAGATTTAGAACATAAATATAGGAAAAATGTGTTGGTAACACCAAGGATATTTGCATAACACAAAGGACATAAAGGTTACACTAAGGATATTTTGTGTAATACTTAGAAAGAAATAATAAAGTTGTTCTCCTTCCTTCCGAAAAGGATAGTAATGAAATTACCCTAGAGGTGAATATAAGAGTATATGGTTTTAACATAAAAAATTGGCGGGGGATTTCTTTCATTATACATTTTGAGTCTGACTAGTAACACCAAGGATAAAACAGTAACGACATAGACATAACTATCCAGTCATAAGATATATGACAGTAGAAAAATGAAATCAAATTGTTATGCCCGAATAATAAATAATTACTATCACATGACTTTGAATCATTGATCAGTACTTTTTAGTATATTTACATATCCAAGCAGAAGCTGTAACACCAATGACAAAAAATAACACAAAGGACACCTTTAAAAGATTCAAAGGTTTAAATAGATGAGTCTTAGATCAGCTAGAACTAATTTTTAATGAAGAAATAATTGTGAAACTAGAACATGTACATGTATTTGTAAATGACCAGATTTCAAATACATAGAATGCATTAATCTTTTTATGGATTTTACATTTTCATTTCATTTATCTACAGCTAGCCTCTTTCCACAATGAGCTCTCTACATAATACACATCTACAAGATATGATGGTGACAATATTATTAAAACATTAGCAATGCTATATCAGCTTTTATCTTTTACAGTTTTTGGCCTGTTAAAAAGGAACATGGTTTTAGGTTCTGTCTAATCCCATGCATACATTTAAGTTCATTTTTTCTGTATCTTTATCCAGTCTCTCTTCCAAAGGATCTGATTTCTCTTCATCTGTAGTCTGATGTTCATTATTGACTCCAATTCTTTCTCTTCCAGGGTGTCAGTCTTTTCAGTTTCCTATCAGGAACTCTTGACTTTTTTTAATCTGTACTCTTTTTCATTTTTTTCATTGATATTTTTCTTCCCTTTTTGCTCTTGTATCCACTGATCGTTTGCCAAACTTTCATTGACAGTTCTTCAGGGTAACAATCCAACAAAGTGGCTTGAAATGTAGTGGTCTGCCACCATATCTGGCCTTGTTGTTGTCCAATGCTGCCTCGACTATATAATCTTCTCCACCACTTTCCAAAAGCTTATGTACATCCAAGGTTAAAAACTTCTTTCAGCACCAACTTTTACAGGATGTAGAACAGTCATGAGGGATTTCAGTTGGACAAATCTGAAGAACATCCTCAACTAAATGCAAAACTGTATTCTAGGGTAATGACTGGTACATTGTCTCCTTAAAAAAATCTTTTAAAATCCTTTTAGAACAGTTATGAACAATTTGTGACTTTTTCATCTAAGGGTTTACATGATTAAAGGACTTTAAATGCATTTGCAAAGAAATGTTCCGTATCTGATATAACTTAAAAGGTATTTTCAATTCAATGATATAAATCTATCTTTTACGTCTTGGATTCTATTGGCTTCATTGCAACTTTTTAATGTGTCTTTTTTACATCATCATCATTAAGAGAACATAACTAGAATCCTCAGACTAAAGAAAACAAATCATATTCTGCCTTATTTCACATTCCCTTGTGTTACCTAAAACTTCCTTTGTGTTACCATTTTTAACCATCATATATTTTTAGCACTTCATTATTTATTGTTACTTGAATTGCAATATCCCACCACATTTGTTTTCTGCAATACAATGAACACAATTACCACTCCATATGCAATACGCTTGTTTCATTTTTCTATCTTTAATCCTTGCTGTGTCCCTTGAGTAACTGAATTTGTCTATGGTGTTACCATAGGTTACTTTAAAGAGCATAAAAGGGGATATGATTGCATTATATAATGAATTTTGATATTTCAATTTATTCAAAAGAAATAAAAGTTGTATATTTTCCTACAGAAACAAAAGAACATGCAAGGGTATATTAATAACATAAATATTTAATCGTTTTTACATCCATTGTGTTACCAAACATTGTCCTTTGTGTTACTCAAATTATTTATTGAATTAATTTATAGCTCATGGAAACATAATATGAAAAATAAAGGCCAATTTGATAAAAATATTTCTGTTATTTTATATTGTAATAAACTTTTCACAAATGTTGTATTAAAATTGGGAATTTAAAGGTTTTTTTTTCAACTGGTCCGCGGAGTTACCCAATTCTGTCCTTTGCATAACCAAGACAGCAAAATCATATGATTTTCAAATGGTAAAAACATTTAGTAAATAATTTGGCATTTTAAAACAAAATTAGTTACTGGATAGTTTTAAATAAGGGAGGAAAATAAAACATATGACTCCAACTTGCATTCTTTTTAATTATTTTCTATGTAAATTGTCCATGGATTAACTAGATACATCCTTAGAGTAACTTTTCTTGCAGTAACAAAATGGACAGTAACACCAAGGAATTATTATATAAATAATTGGAAGTATAAAAGCAATAACTGACTTATGAACATAAAGCACAGCTCCTAGATGATAGGTATTTTGTTATAAACTTGCTCAATGCATCAAAGAAATGGCAAATTAATTTATCATCACAATATCGAAGTAACTCCTAGGACTCAAAAATAAATTACTATTGCAATCAAACTTGCCTTCAACCACATATTGTGCCTATGGTATAAAAGATCTGTGTAAAGTGTCTCATGATATTTTGGCGGGAACAAGACCAAAAGAAGGAGGCTGATAGTGAAGAGTTTCTTTAGGAAAGATAACTGTTACAGATAACTTTTATGTCCTGGTAACTCCAAGGACACGGCCAAAATAACACACACTTAACTTTAAAAAAATCATATTCTTACTCTTTTTCAATCACATTTTAGCATGCATTTAGACAGTATTAAACATGTACAACACAATAAAAGTCATTTTACACTGCTTAGTTATATTTACTACATCAATATCAGAGTTGAAGTCAAACATCCGGCCAAATCACAAGCAATTCTCTTTAATTTTACTCAGGTTGAAGGACTTTTTTCAGTATTCAAGTCAATTTTTAATCGCACTTAATTTTTTTCCACACTTGTAGATTGTTGTTAAATTCATCGGGTAAAAAAAAATTTGATTTTTATTGCAAAATTTTCAAAAAAAGCTTGTATCACAGGAATTTGGACATTTTTTGAAAATGACCCATATATTGTTTATTATATGTCATTAAAGGATAATATAGATGTGGGGTTTTTAATGGATACTTGGGTGAGGAAATCGGGATATCCTTTAGTAACAGTCAGTCGACAAGACTCACTAGTCAACATTTCACAGAGCAGATACTTCCCCAGAAACTTCTCAGGAAACGGCGGATCCCATTCAACTGAAAGGTTAAAAGCAATGTCTATACATTTAAGAAATAGTATATGGATATTTTTAGGGATAGCTATTTCTTGTTAAAAATTTTTTATTTTTTGTATAGCAGATGGGTTATTCCCTTTGTATATGGAATTTTGGATGGAAATGGGAATTTCACAAGTAACATGTTACTGCTACAAGAGGAATCTGGTATTTAATAGAAATTAAAATTCAAAACCTAATTTATGTTTTTTCATTCAATAATATTATCATTATTGTCTGTCGATCTTTTGAATAGGTACTATTGAAATAACATCCGATGACAGATTGTTAAAGGGTAACTTTGGCGACAGTGGATATTACAGAGTGAACTATGACAAAGAAACATGGAAGGTCATCATAGAACAACTTACCACTGACCATCATGTAGGTCATCACATACACTGTAGCAGCTGACCACTCGACAAAATTAACTTATTTGATCAATTTGATCATTTAAAAGACATCAGTTACAAATGAAAAGAATTTCAGTAGTTCTTGTTTATTAAAATCATTTTACCGTTAGTCGCATTGCAATAACCAAGAAGGGGGTTATTCACCAATTGCAAGCAAATAAGTGTTTCTGTTTTCTTTACATTTTTCTTTCATTCACTGTTCCTGTCCAGATCTTCCCAGTACGAGACAGGGCTCAGTTGATCGACGATGTCTTTTCTTTTGCAAGGTTTGTAGTTTTTATTAGCTCACCTGAGCTGAAAGCTCAAGTGAGCTTTTCTGATCACATTTTGTCCGGCGTCCGTCTGTCTGTCCGTCTGTCTTTCCGTCTGTCTGTCCGTCTGTCTGTCTGTAAACTTTTCACATTTTCGACTTCTTCTCAAGAACCACTGAGCCAATTTCAACCAAACTTGCCACAAAGTATCCTTGGGTGAAGGGGATTCAAGTTTGTACAAATGAAGGGCCACGCCCTCATTCAAGGGGAGATAATTGGGAATAAATGAAAATTTGGTGGCATATTTTAAAAATCTTCTTCTCAAGAACCACTGTGCCAGGAAAGATGAAACTTATGGAGAAACATCCTCAGGTAGTGTAGATTCAAATTTGTTCAAATCATGACCCCCGGGGGTAGGGCGGGGCCAAAATGGCCGACCAAAGTTTTACATAGAAATATATAGGAAAATTCTTTAAAAATCTTCTTCTCAAGAATGACAAAGCCATAATTCATCATATTTATATGGAAGCATGCTCAGGTAGTGTAGATTCAAGTTTGTTCAAATCATGACCCCCGGGGCTAGGGCGGGGCCAAAATGGCCGACCAAAGTTTTACATAGAAATATATAGGAAAATTCTTTAAAAATCTTCTTCTCAAGAATGACAAAGCCATAATTCATCATATTTATATGGAAGCATGCTCAGGTAGTGTAGATTCAAATTTGTTCAAATCATGACCCCCGGGGCTAGGGCGGGGCCAAAATGGCCGACCAAAGTTTTACATAGAAATATATAGGAAAATTCTTTAAAAATATTCTCCTCAAGAATGACAAAGCCATAATTCATCATATTTATATGGAAGCATGCTCAGGTAGTGTAGATTCAAGTTTGTTCAAATCATGACCCCCCGGGGTAGGGCGGGGCCAAAATGGCCGACCAAAGTTTTACAGAGAATTATATAGGAAAATTCTTTAAAAATCTTCTTCTCAAGAATGACAAAGCCATAATTCATCATATTTATATGGAAGCATGCTCAGGTAGTGTAGATTCAAGTTTGTTCAAATCATGACCCCCGGGGGTAGGGCGGGGCCAAAATGGCCGACAAAAGTTTTACATAGAAATATATAGGAAAATTCTTTGAAAATCTTCTTCTCAAGAATGACAAAGCCATAATTCATCATATTTATATGGAAGCATGCTCAGGTAGTGTAGATTCAAGTTTGTTCAAATCATGACCCCCGGGGCTAGGGCGGGGCCAAAATGGCCGACCAAAGTTTTCGAAGATCATATATAGGAAAATTCTTTAAAAATCATTTTCTAAAAAATAGCAAATCCATGATTGGTCATGGGACTACTTTTGGATTTAAACTTTACAATAAACAAGAGGCCCACGGGCCTTATAGGTCACCTGAGTATTGTGTAACAACTTTCAAACAATTAAATTTGGGTCGTGTTTAAACCGGAGGCCATGAAATTCACAATTTACAATTTTGAAAGAGGCACCATTGCTTATCATAATTATTAACTTAGCATGCTTACTCTATTTACTTAATACCCAGAGGTAGATCAGAGTAACAAAGAGAAAATGCACTTCCACTTTATAACCAGTTGTGCACCTCACCCCAAAGGAACCACTGACCCAGGGTCATATATTTCAAAATTTTGCAAATTTTATCATAAAATGGTTGATTAATACCAAAGAGCAGATTTCAAAGCATGAATTTATTTTCAGGCTATGTAACCCCCCCCCCCCCCTTTGACCCTGGGGGCATTAAAAACCACTTTGCTAGATGCACCTTTCTTCATCATAAATATATATATACTTGGATCATTGGCTTAAAACCCAGAAGCAAAGAAAAATATTTACAAAGAATAAATGTATTTTCACTATATAATCAATAAAGCCCCGACTTAACACCAGAACCCCTGACCCTGGGGCCATAAAATTCACAAATCTGGAAGAGGCACTCTTGCTCATCATAACTATGTGCTTAGTTAGTTTATCTAATACCCAGGAGCAGAGAAGAAGATTTTCAAAGAAATAATGCATTTTCACTATATAATCTATAGAGCCCCGCCCTAACACCAGAACCCCTGACCCTGGGGCCATAAAATTCACAATTTTGGAAGAGCCACTCCTGCTCATCATAACTATGTGCTTAGTTAGTTTATCTAATACCCAGGAGCAGAGAAGAAGATTTTCAAAGAAATAATGCATTTTCACTATATAATCTATAGAGCCCCGCCCTAACACCAGAACCCCTGACCCTGGGGCCATAAACTTCACAATTTTGGTAGAGGCACTCTTGCTCATCATAACTATGTGCTTATTTAGTGTATTTAATACCCAGGAGCAGAGAAGAAGATTTTCAAAGAAATAATGCATTTTCACTATATTATCTATAGAGCCCCGCCCTAACACCAGAACCCTTGACCCTGGGGCCATAAAATTCACAATTTTGGAAGAGGCACTCTTGCTCATAGTAACTATGTGCTTATTTAGTGTATTTAATACCCAGGAGCAGAGAAGAAGATTTTCAAAGAAATAATGCATTTTCACTATATAATCTATAGAGCCCCGCCCTAACACCAGAACCCCTGACCCTGGGGCCATAAAATTCACAATTTTGGTAGAGGCACTCTTGCTCATCATAACTATGTGCTTATTTAGTGTATTTAATACCCAGGAGCAGAGAAGAAGATTTTCAAAGAAATAATGCATTTTCACTATATAATCTATAGAGCCCCGCCCTAACACCAGAACCCCTGACCCTGGGGCCATAAAATTCACAATTTTGAAAGAGGCACTCTTGCTCATCATAACTATGTGCTTATTTAGTGTATTTAATACCCAGGAGCAGAGAAGAAGATTTCCAAAGAAATAATGCATTTTCACTATATAATCTATAGAGCCTCGCCCTAGCACTAGAACCCCTGACCCTGGGGCCATGAATTTCACAATTTTGGTAGAGGACTCAATGCACATTACATTCATGCCAATAGTTTGCCTGCTTGATGTCCAGGAGTAAAGAAGAAGATTTTTAAAGATTTCATTAATTTTAGTGGTTTTTGCCCCACCCCTCAGGCCCCAGGGGGGCGGGGACCATGAAATTCACAATTTTTGTTCCCCTCCACCCATAGATGCTGTATACCAAATTTGGTTGAAATTGGTTCAGTGGTTTCAGAGAAGAAGCTGAAAATGTTCAAATGTTAACACACGACACACGACGCACGACGGACGACGACGGACGAAAACGGATAGCAATAGGTCACCTGAGTTACTCAGGTGACCTAAAAACCATTTTCTACTTTTTCCTACCCTTAGTGCTCAGGTGAGGGATGTGGCCCATGGGCCTCTTGTTTCTTTTTATTAAGACTGACTCTGATTTAACTCGACCTGGGGGAAACTTTAGTTACAATTTCAATTAACACTTGTATGAAGAAGGGTTTAATTCAATTTAGTTATTATTATGGTATCACCGTCCCTCAAAAAAGTACGCTTTTTTCTTTCACACACAGAGCTGGACTTCTTAATATCACCGTAGCTGTTGAAATTACAAAATACTTGGAAAATGAGAGTGATTTTCTCCCTTGGCTCATGGCTACTTTGAATTTAAAACTACCTGACTACCCACAAAACGAAGAAAACTTTGCTGAGCTTAAGGTATTGAGAAGTATTTCTATTATGTATTTATTATCAATGTATTTTTGTACTTGGAATGTTCTAATATTCTGAATTATAATATGCTTTTCATCTTAGCAATTCATTATCATTACAGTTACGGTTTTGTAATGTATCAAGGAAAAAATTGGAAATAATGAGATACAATGAGACAGTAAATTCCTCAACTCGGTAAGAAATTCTACAGTTTTAAAATTTATTTCTTTAACCCCCTTCCCCGCAGTCACGCATTTTAACGCATATACCATTTCCTATTTCTAACGCAAAATCACGCATATACCGTTTCCCCGCAATCACGCATTTTCACGCACTTTAAAAAGTTCATTTAATCTTAAATTTAATGGCAATTTCCTTCTATTTTATACATGCAAAAATCTTAAGAAATAAGAAAAATTATTTTTGTATAAAAATATTTCGTCATGATATTATTTGCGCTTTACTTTAGAGAAACGTGTACCACGCTAAAAGGTGCTTGCGGGGAAATGGTAAATTTCTATTTCTATGACGTGAACATTTAGTGTATGTTGCATAACAGTTCAGTAAGTTGTAAAGAGTTAAAAAATGATATTCCATTGAAAATGATATTATTAATAAATAAATTTTCATTTGTGTAAAAGAAAGCTTCGAAAAGTGCTAAAGAAAAGTTCAAAGACTTGTCCTGTGGATACTTCATAGAGAAGGTAACCTTTTTTCGGGATGAAGAGAGATATATAAGTTAATTTTAGTTGACTATTTATATGTATTTCTCGATGAAGGCACGGGTAAGAAAAAGGATGAAAGTAATCGGGTTAAAGGAGCGGATTTGGTGTCAAAAAGTAGGAGAATGTTAAAGAACACGAATGAGAGAATGTTGTGTAGTGAAAGGAAAAAATGAAACCAATTCTTCTGTAATGATCTTCTTCTCTCAGATTTTTGGGGATTATTTTTGGAGGGGAAAGGAGATTAAAAATTATTTTATTTTGTTCTCCCCGTGATGGTTTTAAAACATTTTTATATACATTGTATGTTTTATTTCAGTTTTATGAATAGATGTAGAAATTGGTTTTCAATTTAAACAATCTCGGTTTCTTGTTTTACCATGTTTTACTTGATAAATGTTGGTAGTTGTTAGTGTTCGGTTTTATTTTCGCCCATTTAATTCCTGAGGTAATCAAATTGCTTAGCTTAGGAATTAATCACAAAACTTACATTTTGTGCTTCAGATGTTTTCATAACTTAAGTATAACTTTACAGGAAAGAATTTGGATAAAATACTTCCGATTTTATGAATATATTTATTTTTATTTTAAAGAGAATGGTAAGCAAGTATTTTGAGGCCTTTTCTTACGTTAATTTAACATTTAATGGGTATTGTTATGATAATATGTTGTACTTAAATAAATATATATGTGAAAAATATAATATATAAGTTCTTTTTTGACATTGACCAGGGATTTTACTCCACATATTGTCAGTGATTTGGAATTTACTGGTGAAAGAGAACGACTTTTTAAGATACAATTTACTCTTCTGATATATTGTTTTAAAATCCAATAGCGCAAAATTCTTATCGCTTTACAATTAGATAAATATATCCACTGAGGTAAATGTAGAAAGTTTTTGTGTTGTCTTTTTCAAATTCACTGGGATATATCGAGTCCACATATGAATGGAATAATTTTAAATTTTTAAATTGACAAAACGTCGTCGATGTACACTGAATTTGAATGTCGATTTAATGACGAGCCAGCAAATGTTTTCTTCATTTCATGAAGAAATTTTTATAACGTTGTCTCCGTTTCACAGGTATGTAAAAACATATTGGGTATTGGAGTTTTGCGAAGACACTGGCTTTTACAGTTGACGGCTTACTTTTAAACCAGGAAAATATACGGGAGCTCTTTTGTGAAAAAAATATTGATCTTAACATTTAACAAAACGATGATATCAAAGATCATATTACGTTGTCTAGAACGGAAACGGCAACATTTCCACCCTCAACACCCTCCCTTCAAGTCTTGACTAACTCCTGCCGAGTTTTCCTACCGAAATGTGTCTTTCTCTTTATTTCATTTCTTAAGTTATAGAAAATAAAAGCATATATTAATTCTCGTGAATAAAGTTTCTAAATAAATTTTATTTTACCACCAATTATATTTTTTGTTTGATAAATTATTTCAAAGCCCTTAATACCATAACTTTCACCTCAATGGATGTTTTCTTAACTATATCCAATTCCGTACCTCCGTACATGACGCAGGTTTAAATTTCCAAGTAAGCCGTCAAGTAAAAGTCATTGTCTTCGCAAAAGTCCATTAAAGGGTATGTACGACGTATAAAATTTAGTCTGTTCTGTCATCCCGTATTATTGCATCCAATGAGTTTTGCATAACGAACAGTGAGGGATCTCATAAATTCAGCAAACAAATGAATGGCAAACAGAGGCAAAAATATGAAATATTTTTTTTAATCTTCACATGGAAATTTTATATAACGTCATGTTGTACACAACTGTCTTAGTAGTGACAGTGACTGTCTTTCAACAAATTGACCATAGTTCGAACAGGTTTCTTTTAAATAATTTTCTTGTAAAACACATTAAATAATACATAGGACTCACGGCAGGTAAAACCGGTCGACAGGGGGATGCTTTCTCCTCAAATGCACCTGCTCCCACCTCGTGTTATTACACATAGCATTCTCTTTTGACTCACTGTCGTTTTAACAATTTACAGGTTTCAAATACGTTTTTGGGCACCGGAAGTACAGTACCGCAATGAAAACTAATTGTTTATGCATTAGTTAGGTGCTTCTAAATAAATAACGTAATAAGGTATAATTTTATTTGCTTTTTTCGAGGAATTGCATCAGATCATTTCTGATATAAGTATTGTTAAGTCATTTTGGAAGTAATTGCGAATGCATGATTTTTATTAATTTCGGTGATAAACTGGAGAATTTTAAAGTTCAGTGATATTTGTAAGGCATGAATGTCACTGTGATTAGTAAACGAGCGAAATCTTATATATTGTGTGTAAGCTGAGTTTGTTCAGTAGCAAGACCAATTTTCACCACCATGAAACTGATACTCTTGATAGTAAGCATTGTATTGCTGTGCTCATTCGGATTAAAAGCTCATTTTGCCAAGTCCTCGAAGTTTACCAGGAACGAAGACAATACTTTGGAAGATTCTTTTGCAACAACCGACGAGAATCTTCCATGGAGAAACTTTCGTCTTCCCTCCTCAGTTTTGCCGTCAGAATATCATATATTTATGCACCCAAACCTGACGGAAGGAACGTTTTCTGGTAAAGTTTCTATAAAATGCAGGGTTGTGAAGGCCACTTATTTCTTTGTGTTGCATTCTAAAAACTTGGAGATTTCTGATGTGACTTTAAGATCTGTAACTGATTCAAAAAATCTAAATGTAACAAGACATCTGGAATTCAAAGAAAATGATCAGTTCTATGTAGAAGTAGACAATGTTATACCAAACGATACCGTTATTGTTATCAACATGAAGTTTGAGGGGGAATTCGCATCAACATGCAAAGGATTTTATCTGAGCTCATATTTTGATGACAACAAAAACTCAACAAGGTAAATGTCAATGACATTTTATTTTATTTTCTGATATCTCTTCATTTCTATCAGACTACATGATATTAAAAATTAAATGTAATTAAACGTATTTATGAAAAGATCATACAGTGTGATATTATTTCTTCTAACATTTCAATTTTAGGTTATTAGCATCTACTCAGTTTGAACTAATGCATGCCAGAGAAGCATTCCCCTGTTTTGATGAACCAGAATTGAAAGCGAAATTTTCTATGTCTATTGTAAGGGAAAAAGACTACTTTTCGCTTTTCAACATGCCTCTTAGATCCTCAACAGCATATGGTGCAAACTTGGTGCTGGATGAATTCCACCAAAGCGTCACAATGAGCTCATATCTCGTTGCTTTTGTGGTGTGTGATTTTTCTTCCATAACAGATAACACAAAAGATGGCACAAAAGTAAGTAAGAGCACATAATTAACATATAACATGATTGTGTAAACTGTACCGTAAAAATTGTAATTTTTACCCCATTTTGTAAGTTCTTTGAAATTTTATGGTAAATTTTATATGAAATGTCCAAACAATAAAGGGGTTGAAATGATGTCACAAAGGAGGTGGGTTTCTTTCTCCAATATATTCTATAAAAGTTCACCCCTGGAAAAACTGACACAGATCTAGGAGATATTTAAATGAGCTACTGAAAAAATAAATGCATTCAGAGTACTAGTACTTGTTTAAATGCCAAAAACGATTAGAGAGACGAGAAATGTAAAAGTTAATGTTGATTTGTCTGTAAAAGTGTTAAAAGTTTGTCACTTAGAAAAGTGACGACGTCGATCAGGTGTGATAGATGTTGAAGACTTTCATGCAAATATGCTCTTATAATCAAGTGAAGAATTTTTAAACTATGTATAGATCTATTTACAATATCATATGCATTGACATCAAATACTAGTAAACAGGACCGGTAACTCCTGGTCTCTAAGGAATCTCATCAAGATAAGTGCATGAGGTAAAAAAAAATGCGGACCTTGAGGAACAATGAAACTAAATGGCAACAGCGCCAGATGATCATAAAATGTCTTTTTTAGGATAATTTGATAAATATTTCAGGTATCAAGCTAAAAATATCAACATTTCTTTATCTTTTCTTGTTTGATGTTCATTAAAAATTTTGTAATCACAGAGTTCATCGTACCAAGAGGTACTAATTTCATCGCATCAGTCTTCGAACTTTTCGAACAACCCTCGTATACATGTATTACATTATATTATAATAATAATGTTATAAAAAATCTTCACGAAATGAGATAACTACACACTGTTATGTTTTAATGCAATGTTCAACTTTGAATGAAAAGTATTATAAACAAAATAAGTATTTATAAATGCATCAAGTATCTTTCCTGACAAAAATACCACAATTTACTATATTAGCACTGATAATTAAATAATAAAACAATTCTTAAAAGAAAAAAAAAATCATACGGTCAGTATCTGAATTATTATTTTTTTCCTGTAAAGGTCACAGTGTATGCCTCTCCTGACCGAATAGACGAGGCCCAGTATGCTCTTCATGAAATAGTCGCTTTATTGGACTACTTCAACAGACTATTCGACATCTCCTACCCACTGCCAAAACTAGGTAACATTTACAATAATCATAACCAACAATAACAAAACAAATAAAGCTCATCGCCGCTTTTGAAAGGGCGTGAGTTAAGAAAGCTATTGCAAAACCATTAAATATTGTAAAAATGTATGCTTTAAGAAAAAAAATATAAAGCATAATCATCACAGAGAGAATATCTGAAGTTTACAACTATTTACTGAATGTAGACATTTTTCGATCTAAGTTTTAAAACTTACTTTTCAAATTGAAATGTAATCTTGAATTTTTTTACAGACTACATTGGCATTCCATACTTTTGTTATGCCGCCATGGAGAATTGGGGACTGATTACTTCAGCGACAGAAGCCGTACTGGTTGGTTCAAATACAAGTATCTGGCAAAAGAACTGGGTTTCCAGTGTGATCTCTCATGAGCTTGCCCATCAGGTAAAATTGGATATAATCTTTTTTAAAAATAGGAAATTATAATTTAATTTTTGTCATGGTTGTAAGATATTGTGATATTTACTTTATCGAAATGTATTTTCTTAATTGTAAGGATAAGTTTGGATTTAAAAGCTTTGCATTACAGAACGACTTTCTATGTAAAAATCTTTTATCAATGTTGAAATTGCGAATAATCACAACGTCTTTTATTTTGTAGTCTTCACATTTTTATTAGTTTCTGAAAGTTCTTATATATAAACCTTTATAAGGGACTTTATCAAAATTTCATCCCGTGTTGTTTTAGTTAAAATGCACTAAGTACTCGAGCAGAAAGAATAGAACTACATGTATAAGAAATAAAGTCACAAATATTTATTTTCACTGAAATGTTAAAAACGAATTGACTGAAATATAAGCAGCCAAATTTTATGTGACAAAATTGGTATTATTACTAATAGGTTTTGGTCTATTTATATGAACGATGTCTTGTACACTTTCATTTTTAAACTAGATTTTAAGATATTTACAGGAAGCATTTTGAAATTATAGTGGTTTGGTAACCTTGTAACTATGAAATGGTGGAATGATCTATGGCTTAATGAAGGATTAGCTACATTTATGTCATTCCTTGGAAGAAAAGCACTAGATGAATCTTTTGAGATGGTATGTTGGGCAATTGACATAATTTGATCAAAAATATTTTTTTAATATGACATACTGGTAGTAATTTTAAAAAAAAAGATCACCGCTATTTTTTTTCTTCTTTTATATTATTTTTTTTTATTGAAATCATAAATGCAATATACTGATTATTAACACTTATGTGATTTTTAAACGAAAATGAATAAACTACATGTACTTTGAAAAGACTAAAAAAATTACTTTTTCAAGGCCATCAAGATTTATGAAAACGTTATATCCTTTGCAATGAATTGTGACCAAAGAAGATCTTCATTAGTAGTCTCTCCTGTGAACAATAAAATGGATGCTTCGTCCATCAGTTTATGTCAGATTTACATGAAGGTTGGTTCTTTGGGATTTTAACTTTAAATGCCTAAGTATATAGATATATCTATATTTTAATTGTGGTTATTTAGCAGAATGATATAAATAAATCTGCAGCATGCATGCCTCTCTAGATACCATTTCAAGTGAATAAGAATATAATATATAAATCTAGATTTTTTGTTTTTGTAATCTCTGTAGCATCAAATTATTTGTCAGTATTCTGTCTCTTTTCAAAATTGATCTTACTTAGAGCCACCTCGAGTTTCGAATAGGTTGGAAGGCGTATAGTTGTCAGGGTAGTATTAAGTTTCTTTATTCATAACGAAAATTGATGGAAAAGCTGAAGTGATTTCGTTTGTCATTCAATTTTGTTGTTAATTTGCACATATCGTTCATAATAAAATATCCAAATATTAGATAGATCGGAAAGTTTCTGACTTTTATTTCACATTTACTCAAATGATCGAGTCCTTATAATATATGCATGAATGGAAGTAAGAACTATATCGCTTTTTGATATAACATCGTCGATATATATTTGAAAGACAAACAATAAATATTTGTTTCATATAGAATGTTTTGAATAAAATTTACTTCAAAAGAATATGAAATATGTTTTATATGTATTTCAAATGTTTAACTCCGACGAAAATTTCTTATTTTCAAAATTTAGGGAGCTTCTATCATACAAATGATTAGAGAATTTATTGGAAAGCCAAATTTTGACACAGGGATAAAAAATTACCTGAAGAAAAATAACTACAGTAATGTAGTTACTGATGATTTATGGCAATGTATTTCAGAGGTTCAAGTAAGTTACTTTAATTACTTTTACTAATTTCTTGATAATATTAGCACTTTAACATTATATAATTAAACACTGAAGGCTTGTATCTTTCATTATAATGTTTGTTACAACACGAAATGTAATAAACTGGGATTATGACATTCTGTGTCGAGATCAACGGAGTGTGTTAAACTCGTGATAAAGAACGATGTAAAATGTTCTGTTATCAGCTTTTTTGTCATCTTAAGGATAAATATTGTCTTTAACTTTAAATGATTGTCTAATGCCACTTTTATATTCAAACCCGATTTTAATACCATTCTAATGATGATATAAATTAAACTTTTCTTTTACCTAAATATTACTTTTTGAATCTTCAGGCTTCAAAGGAGAGAATAGATCTGAAATCTGCTATGGATGGATGGACCAATCAATTAGGATATCCTATCATAATGATTAGTCGACGGGAAACCGAAGTGAAGATTTCACAGATTCATAATGCATTTCACAAATCGCCCACATCAGATGCCAGGTTTCTTCTTCCTATATGTAAAAGTAAAAACAAGAAACCTATATTTAAAAAGAATTCTTGTCTGTACATTGTGCATATGTCTTAAAAGATTAGAGACACAATTCATTTGTTATATTAGATAAAAATATAGTATGACTCTCTTTTATAGTTATGAAAGGCGAGTTCCCTTTATATATGGCGTTTTGCAGAAGAATGGGTGCTGGGTGCGAAATCAGATGTGGCTTCTAAACACATCAGGTTCATATAAAAATATATCAAAATTTGAACTCTATATATCAAAATGTATCAAATTTGAACTCCTTTTGAATGTCATTTTTATAATATGTCAAACACATAAATTTTCACATATATCTTATAAGCAATTGCATTACCCAAGTACATTATTTTTAAAAGAAACTTTACACCTGGACACCAATGATATATTGGTTAAAGGTAACTTTGGTAGCAGCGGATATTACAGAGTGGATTATGATACGGACACCTGGAATCTAATAATTGAACAGTTAAAAAGAAATCATTCGGTAATTAGAGTTTTTTTTTATTTGAAAGTGTTAATAAGTTAAATGATAGTGTAATATACATTTATACTGAAGGAGTTTTCATGATTGTATAAGAAGAGATAATTTAGTAAATACTTATACTGTTAAACATGCCCGTAGCAAGCAATAAATTTCAGGTTAAGGATAGGGCACCACCCAAAAATTTATTTGGGGTGAGGAGCTACATGATTCCTTGACAAGCGATCATTAAATCGTGTGGCAATGTTTTTACAGATAATTATTGAATTAATGTAATGAAAATACAAGGAAAATATCAAAAGTAAAATTGCAACAAACCAAACCATGGAAGAAATAGGAATCCTCTAAATTATTTGAAAACTTAATTTGCAATTTAAATGTACATGTATCCTTTTATTTAAAATAAAAGCACTTTAATCATAAAAAGAATTACAATCTTTATTCATTGTGATAAGAAAAGGGAGAGGGTTCTTTTCAAAGAAATTTGTTATGCACTAAATTTTGGGTCACTTGCTTTTGGTGTTCTTGGGTTTTTGGTACTGAGTATTAAAGATTTTAAAATTTAATATCTTAATTGTGTGAATTAAACAAAAAAATTGAATCAGGCACAGTGACACCCCAGAATTATTCTTAATTATTTTACTTTTCATTTCTATTTTAGGTATTTCCAAAGGAAGATAGGTTGGGTCTATTAAATGACGCCTTTGAGTTAACAAGGTCGCTATTGCTATTTACATACATGTACATGTATAAAATCGGAAAACAATATCGTTTGCTAACCAATGAAAGTAATTTTCGATATTGTTCTCAACTGAACCGCAGATTAGATATCACAATAAGAAATAAAACATTTATGACCATAGATTATTTTTCAATTTCACCATCACACCCTTGGGATTTTTAAGCCTCTTATCTACAATTGTTAATCATATTTACCTAATATAATAAGATTAGTGAATATTTGATATATTTCAGCAATGTCATGAAAACATGAAGACATACATGTACTCATATTTTCAGAAATGGACTCTTGAACGTAACCATTTCACTTGAAATGATGCGATATCTCACTAAAGAAAATGAATTCCCTCTTTGGTTGAATGGTATCAGAGGTTTGAGAAACATGATGTCTGATTTAAAAATGGGGGATCTTGACATTAAGGTGTTGTAATATTTCTCACTCTAAAGAAAAAAGTATATTTCCTTTAAGAAAGTATTTTTCCTTGATCAATAGCCAAAATTGTTAATTGCAGATTTTTTTTGGAAAGAAGTAATGAAGAGATCTGTAGTATTTGACATCATTGGCATTGAATTTAGTTCTTTATAGTATAATGACATAAATAATAAAACTCAAACAGAATTAATTGATTTTCAACCAAATATTATCAAATAGAATATTTAAAAATCTGTCTAATTGTGAATTTTTATCCCTATTTGTTAATTGTAGAGATATTTGGTTGATCTGGTGAAAACAAAATCAAAAATGTTGACCTGTGACCAACATTATGGGACTAGTCCATTAGAAACAAAGTAAGGAATTTATGGTAACTCAGAAAGCAATTTCATTATGACAGATGAGTAGTTCATCGCAAAAATTTCATTTTTCATTTAAATTGCGAGGATATAGAACCATTGAAAGATTGCATACATTGTTATCACTTGTTGTTGTTGTAGATGATAATTTTGATTTGAAGTAAAACTTCCAGTTCCTTTTATTTAGAAATGTTTCGCAGAATTCAGTTATGATCTTGTTAAATTGTTGAATATCAATTTAATTATTTTGAATTTTAGATCCTGCTAGTGTCTTACTAAAACAAAGATCTGCTTACAACTTATTAAAAGTTCAATCAGGTTTAAATAAAATTATTAAGTTGATCATTTCAGACGTCTTTGTAACCTGTTTAGAAAGGTGCTTAGAAATTATGACAAGGAAAACGAGGAAGAAAACCTTTCAAAAAGATTGTTGGAAAGCGGGTTAGATAACTCAGAGAGGTAATATTTCAAAAAATTGTGCTCGAAAGCAAAATGACATAAGGTCATCTTTAAAATATTATTTGCACTTTCCCGACCCGACTCAATTTTTTTTTCTTACCTCCAGTAATTCAGATTTTTTTTACTTTTGATTTTGCACATACCGTCATTACAATGTTGAAATTTTCCAAGAAAAAAATCTTTCCAACCAACCCCGCCGACCATTTTTTTATACCTTGCATCGGGAGAGGCAGACAAAAACTTCTTTTGAAGATGGTCCAATAAAAAAATCAAATGTTAATAAATGATTCATTCATTTGAGAAGCTGATTTTTGTAAACATCCCCTGACCGATGTCGCCTAATATTTGGTCCGCATCGTTTAAAGGTCCGGCCGGACCTAATACGATAACATATTAGGCCCGCCTTTTATAAGATATATCCGCCTTCATTTTAAGGTCTGGGTGATGCAAAATGTTTAATCTTGTCTTATAAATTTGAAAAGCGAGTTTATTTATAGTATGTGATGAAAGATTTACCCTGTTATGTTTTTATTTTTTGTACAATATATTTCAGGGACAAGAATCTACTCCTCGTTTAGTATGCTTTAAGCAGTGCCGTTTAAGGCCATGATTTCTAAAAAAATAATGCCTCGATTATTGTGCAAGTGTTTTTCCCTCGCGTTAAGTCTTCTGTTTTAATCAAGGAGATGGGATTCTGTAGTCAAATTTAACATAAAAGAAAGGCCAAATACGTCAGTTAAAATATTGACCAACGACATGTTGTCTTTGCTAACAAATTCATTAAAATAATATCATCATAAAATTTAAACGAAGTTGTTGGAATTCAGGTCTTAAATTTAATATCGAAGAAATTGCGAGACATTAATTAAATGTGTAGACGAAAGTGGAATATCACTATATAAGTGAGGAAAGTTAAGTATAAAACAAATACAGCAGACTCCGAGGTATCTTATGTCCAGTTCATTTGAATATACATGTATCAAATAAATATATGAATGAATGTATCTACTGTATTATTAATTGATTAAATGTGTTAGGAGAGAGAGAGAGAGAGAGAGAGAGAGAGAGAGAGAGAGAGATCTATATTCCTTCTATTTTTAAGGTTAGAAACCCTCCTTGACATGGACCTTATGGAAAAATTGTTCAGAGAGCATGAAGATATTAAATTCTGAAAAAAATATTAATCTAACAAGCATCTCATTTATATTTATGCTCTCATACTCGTAATTCTTAAGTCGCCCGCGTGGTGCAGTGGTTTCTAAGGTTAAGGAGTCAATCCTTACGTCGCGGGTTGACATGCGGGACGTGGAGACTTTCGGATGAGAAAAATTGAGGCCCCGTGTCGCAGTAGGTGCTGGCATGAAGATACTGCTCAAAGGCCCTGAGTGCCGAGCATAAAAAAATTTGTAGCCCTCCACCGGCAATTGGTGGCGTCTCCATATGAGTGAAAAATTCTCGAGAGGGACGGTAAACAACAACCAATCAATCAATCAATCGTAATTCTTAAGATTCAGGACATACAAAAAAGGTTTCATGGATGTTATTTGTTGTTAATTTATTTTATTTTTTGGTCATTACGACTTATCTTTCTTATTCTACTTGTTTAGATTTTGGTTTAATTTTCATTTGTGGAAGGTAAATACATGTATATTTCTGTAAAAGCTACATTTATGCAATTTTTGCACCACGGTCATGATTTTTAAATATTTTAATGGGGCTTGGTGCACATTTCCCCGAAAAATTTAAAAAATTGAAATATTTTTAACTGATTCAGAACGCCACCATTGATCTATTAAATCGACAAGAGAAAACCGTCCAAATTTTTGCCATTTCATTAACTGGCTTAAAAATTGTCTTCTCATTTATTTCATTTTAATCATCGATCTTTAGCTAGTAATTTTAAGATGGGTTCTCAGCTTGCCGATGGTTCATATTTTTTTAATATTGTGTATATTTCATCCATTTCCCCCGTAATCGAAGATTTCTGGGTTATATTTTTATCCTATCCGTCTGTCTGTATGTTTAGCTGCTTGTCCGCAAAAATTTTCACCTTGCCCAAACATTTTGCCTGAGTTAGGCTATAGCTTTCATATCGTACAGGTATATTGCTTTTAAGAAGTAATTTCTTTGGGCACAAACAATTTTACCTCTTGACCTTGGAGTTTGACCTACTTTTACAAAAAACATTTAACCTTGGCCCTAAGGTATGAACAATTGGTATTAGGACTTTAGTAATTCACATGACTGTTTATTGTATTATTTTTTATTTTATTAAGACCTTTGAATTGATATGAATAATTTATGACCCTTTAACCTTGACCTTAGAGTTTGACCCATTTGTAGAAATCTTTAACCTTGGCCATACGTTTTGAACAGTTATTAGTAGAGTTTTCATATTTTACAGATGTATTCCTTGTAAAAATACATTCCTTTTGTTACCAACAATTTTGACTTTGGAGTTTGACTTGCATTTGAGTAAGAAACTTCAACCTTCGCCAAAAGTTGCCATACAGTGGCATCAGTATTTCTCAAACACATCCTGCAATCAGGATATAGCATATATTATAGGGTTATTGAACTATGTTTATATATTACATGTGTTCTATATTTTTAACGTTTAATGTCACATGTTGTAGTTTGATCTATGAGGTACACTTTTATTATCGAAGATAGCTAAAGTTCAAATTTCTCATTCATAAACCGGAAATTTGTCACCTACAACAAAATTTTCATTTCCTTGTTTTGTCATTCATGTTTATAACTGTGAGAACCGACGATTCTGAATATGTCAAGGATATAATCTAACCCTTTAATTTAAATTTCCGCATTCTTTTTTTATTGGTATAGTTTTGATATTGTTTCCTGCTAAGATGATGGTATATCCTAGCAATTCAGTAAAGTGGATATGAAAATCTATTGAGAATTTAGGCACTGCAAGTTGGCATTGAAAACCGGAAATTTCGAATCCGCTTTAGGCTACATGATAGATGACTCGCATTCAATCATATCTGGTACTAGTATATACTCCGTATTTATAAAACCCAATTCCTTGACTTAGATATCGTATAGGTTTTTGATCATTGTGCACCTTTTGTGATTAGTAAACTAAAAAAAATAAATTGGAAAAATAATATTAAATTTCAAATTTTGTTTTGAATGAAACTGAAACCCTTTTTTGCAATACCAGGAATGTTCAGTAATACGAAGGCCGTTCAAAAATTACGCAGACTTTGCTATTTTATACTCTTCCTGACTAGTAAAGAAACTTCACATAAACCGAATTGTGCTTTCCACAGGATAAGAATGAAAATTTTAAACATATTGTTTCACGTAGCTCCGTCATTTTTTTTTTAGCTAGAAAACAAAACTAAAAATGAATGTAGTTGTAAATATTTCATTTATTAGTGACTGAAAGGTACATATTAAAAGATCCGGTGTTCTCTACAATTTTATATACACCTGTTTTTGGATCTCTGAAAACTTTAATGTTTATCATGACAATAATCAAAAATACAATTGTATTAAAAATTATGTTTAAAAGAAAATAAGGTTGCAACAATCAATAGGCCCACACAATTTAACTAACCCAATATAATCTGAAAATTTATAAACAAATGTTATAATGGCCAAAAAAGTACCACAAGATTAGGGTATTTTTTCAAAAGTTTTTAACAATGTTCCGTAAATCTAAAATAGACTTGATGATAAATACCTCCCACACTACACTTAGGGTATCTTGTGGTCATGTCGTTTCTTCCTTAATAGATTTAAACTGCTGCAATGTTTTATATGTATCGTTACACATCGTTGTGCAACTATTTCGTAAGCTCAGGGACTCCCCATATTTCTAATGCTTTCAGATTCAGTGTCCAGAACCCAAGGGAGAAGGGAAGAAAATCACTGATTTTTTACAATCAAATTTTAGTGTTTTTTTTAAATATCAGAAATATGTATAATATAAAATGAGATTTTAAATTCATAACGTGACAGTTGTTGACTTAATATACTAGTTAATTTATTTAATATATCCTTTGTAAATGAACTAGATATGTTTTATTTTAATCAATATTAATTGTCTCTATGCTTACTGGATGACATGTTTAAATAATGATAAAAACAGTTCTATTTCTCTGTGTAAGTACATATACTGTACTTAATAATCATTAACATACACAGACAGACACACACAAACACCCTCTCCCTCACCCTCTCACACACACACACACCCTCACCCTCACACACACAAGTTTAATATCTTTTTCTGAAACAGTAGTTACGGGTATGCAAATCATTTATAAAAATAACGCATGATAATTATTGTGGAAAATATATTTGTATTGTAATATAGATGTAGAAAATATAGTTTACATTTGGTCTTATATCAATGCCCGATGACCTCACAAAATTTTATCATAAAGTGATGTAAAAGTGTTTATAAAATAGCACCCGTTAAAAAGAAAAAAAATATGTAAATAAATGTAAACATATCTAAAAATAAAATATAAAAATATATAAAAAATAAAATACAATTCTAAATTGAACAAAAAGTAATTTTATACTGATTTGAGCACAATAAAGCACATAATTTATAATTTTTTTTTAAAAATGTAAACAAGTGTCAGTTATAGTCACAGTTCTGTTCCATATTTATCATTCCTTAGTTAGGACTTCCATATAGTTGCACGACTCTTCTATGCAGGCTGAAAATAAAGAATAAAAAGTATAAAGAACATTTGCAGCATGGAGTCTAGAAAACATTTCTTTCTGTTCTAAATCAATTGAATATATGTATATTGATCATTAATCTCTTGCCTTATTAATAAAAAAAATTAAAATAACAAAGTCTTTTATATTTTATAAGGAACTTTGAATTGAATTACCTAACGATGATTTCTGGTCCATCAAGACAAATGACTTCTCCATCACAATTAACGAAAAAATCCTGCATTTCTTTATTCAAAATGCGAACTCGATATCTCTCCACACTGATGGTCCTGACAAAGTCGAAGTCGTACTAAAAAGAAAAAGTGATTCTATATTAGTATGTACACTGTATATAGGTTGCAGGGCTAGTCTCACTTTCAAATTTTAATATATAAGAATTCTTAGCATTATTTGCTCCTTTTTTATTCTGCATGGTGGAATTTTAAATAATTTAAAATTTGTTAGGTATTTTTCATCTAGATCACGTTTTATAAAAACCCAGAAGTAAGACTTACACAAGTTGATTTCCCGTCGTCGACTTCTTTCAGTTGTCGAATATGATCCATAAGTTTACATTTCTGCGTTATTCGTAACTTCAAAGAATCTTCTCCAAAATGGGGCGCCATCTTTGTTCCTTTCGGTTTCATAGTAATTGGATATGTATCGACTGCATACACAACCCTTTCATCTGCGGTCCTCCATTCTATAACGAAATCAAAATATTTGGTTTTGAATACGTATCCTTTAAAAAATACTATGATTGTGAAACCAAAATTTGAAATTGTTTTCAGAAGTGAACATTTTACCTGAAGCTGCTCCAAAATTGGCAGAAGAAGAAACTGTTCTTTTCTGAAAAGTCACCCGAGCCTTTTTGGTATTGAAAACTGGTACAGATATCTGACGATGGAATTGTTGTTTCGGAGCAGTGACTCTGTTTTCTGCATTAGAGTTATTGTCGCCAGATTTGGCGGGAACATACGATATGATTACATTCACTGGTCGTCTACTCAACACCGTTCCAACTGGAATCACTATCAAAATTAAATCAATTAATACCATTCATTTACCAACTTATGATAACTTCAGTTAAAACCCATATCTGATTTATTCAAAACTTATTTACGTGGAACATATATTTACCTTTAAATCGGCTTGTTCCCATCCACCTGTATTTTTCACAATCTCTCATGACGTCTCCAAACAACCCGAAACCGAGAATGAGACTGGAGTAGCCCGCGCACCTGTTGCCTTGATGAAGGCTTGCAACATTGGTAGCAACACAGTCACCCATCACGATTCGTATCGCAGCAGTTTTCGGACATTTTGTTCCATTGAGGTACCAAGCGGTGTAATTTCCTGATCCTATCAAGTATAAACAAAAAAAAAAGTTGACTTGAAGTTATCATAAATAAATGTTCAAGTGCAAAAAATATTTTACTTAAATACTTGTTTTTAAAATTTATTAAATTTTCTCTAATTTCAGTACTGTGAAAATTATTCCTTATTTTCTAAACATTATTTTCCATTTGTTCATGCACGAGAAGTATGATGAGCGGTTAATTGTCTGCAATTTCCGCACTGTTCAGCTAATAGCAAGCAATCTGACTCAATTTAAGAATCTTGTCTCTTAACCTGGAAGTCTGAGTCTCTATCATAAGCACGCTATATACTTCCGGTAGGATATCACTCTCCTCAGCTTTATATTTATCATGCAGATTTTCTAAATCAGTAAAATAGAGTTATTTCAATGCATTCACTATGGGATTTTTCTCACAGAATGGTTAATACATTCAGTAATTTCGCTTTCTTGGTTGTAGAAAACTCGTGCTATTTTTGTGTTCATTATTAAAATACATAATAAAGATATAAAAGTAGCTAATACTTATACCTGCTGGAATTATTCCTATTGGCAGTTTTAATTGAACAAGTCTAGAGTCAGGGTCGTTCGGATCAAGACCACTATTCTTCATTTCTCTATCCAGCAATGCTGACAGAACCTCGTTATAAATTCCATCTCCGCCCACTGCTACCACTCTGGAATCAAAATGTAACACGTTCATTTATGAAATGAAAAATATCATTTCCCGTATATCTGCTTTAGAACGAGATTTAATTAAAAATTAAATTTCTGAGAAGTAACAATGGCCACTTACCCGTCATATGTGTTAAGGTTAGTGTTAAGAAGACGGTCTCTCACTTCATTTGGTCTGCTTGTCACTGTTAAAGAAACAAATACTTGTACATGTAATGCTATTTGAGAATAATTATAAAATAGTTAAGTTAAAAAGTCTCTGACTCCTTTTTTTTCAAATGAAATGGCATATTTTGATTAAGATATACTTACCGTATTCATTTGTTTTAACTCCACACATTTGAAAAATCGGTAGAACTTTTCTCTGGTAAATTTTTTCCGCCCCTCTGTTCCCACTTCTTGGGTTTATAAAGACCAACAGACTCTTGGGTCTTTTATCTAAATTAATATCATAAAAGAAAAATTATTAAATATTGTTTTAATTAATTTTTCAGAAAATAGAGTTAATAGTTTGTTGAGAGTTTTAAAAATGAAATATAAAATGAAATGAAAAATAAAATAAAGTGAAAATTTTTTAACACCTTTCATGGATTGTTCTATAGCCTTGTGAGTTTCATTACATTGACTTTCTGAGGCTTCACACTGTATCTTTTCGATTTTCAATTTGGTTTTCTTCTCGACAACATGGACGACTTCCAGCGATGTGCCACTATCAGTCGAATGAATGTTACTGGACAAAATTAATCTTGAATTTATTTTCCCTAAAAGAAAAAAAAAGAATGTGAGTGTTATTGTATTTTAATTAAATAAAAAAAAAAACAAGTGGTTAAAATGGATACAATTTTTTTCAACAGTTTTCATACTCCGTATAAATTATAACTTACTATCAATTTTAAAGGTTTGGTAACATAAACAAGACTCTTGAAAATTCATCTCAATACCATTATTGTTCAATTTCATTTTAAAATTAACACTGAAACACATCGTTAAATGCCTTTATAAATTTATTATAAATTTTCCGGCCCTATTAATATTTTCTGGTTTTTCTAGCTTCAGTTAACAAGTCGATTAGTGGGTGAGATGATGAGTATTTACACAAATTTACACATGGAGGAAACCAAAACACGCTCTAATTTTTTAAAGGAAAGTTAAATAAGCTTTCTGAAGGAAATCCGTGCCAAGCGACGGTCAAATTTGAAGTCAAATTAAAAAAGTTATTAAGAAATTAAACAGATGGGTCACTCAGATTTCAACATCTATTTTTACAAGTAATTTTTTCGAGTTTTAAACTTAACTCTTATGCAGGTGTTTTGCTTCAAATTGGTTTCAAATTGAATAGGCATTAATATGTATAATTGGTACATTTGCTTTTATTCTGTTTTAAAAAAGATTTACATATTGGTCAGTTTCAAGCTACATGTAAAAACAGTAAAGCCAGATTCTTAATTAAATCACACAAGCTGTATGACAATGTGTTCTTTTTTTGAAAAAAATTAAATAATAGTACATATATATATACGTATTTGGAGAGTATTACAGCCCTACACCTATTCATACTACATTAAAATGTGTTTCATTCATAAATTTAGAATACTAGTATTATTTCCTTTTCTAAACCATGAATCAAAGCATATAAGGAAATTTAAAAAAAAAATCATATGAACTAACTAAAAGCGATCTGATCCATGACTTTTATTTTATGTTACATATAAGGAATTTTTTTATCATCTTAACGAACTAAAGTGATCTGTTCCATGACTTTTATTTTTTGTTAGTACAGTAATGCATATTTCTGAAGATGATTTGTTTTAAACACTTTACATACAAATTCTAATGTTATAACATTGTCTTTCACTGATTAACACTTTTCAATTGCCACTGAGAACATCACTTAAGTGTTCCTCATGGCAGGATTTTCACTACTACAACTACATTGTTCCTATAAATTGAAGTCACTGGATTATAAAACATACATGTACAAGAAGAAGTCTTATATACTTAAACAACATGCAAGTTACCGTTCAGTTTTCAAATCGGTAACATAACAGATAATGCATATGCTTAATGGTAAGGTCATTCGAAAAAAAAAAAAGATTCACATATCTATGCTTCAAAATCATTTTATTATTAAAAAGTACCGCCTTGGTATTTTTAAAGAGTGCATAGCAGGAACTCGTGATTAATAGCTTTATTTATTGATAAGTACATGCTAATACCCATGAAGATTGGTCTCTAAATTTAGAGATGACTCTATTTCTAACATGGGCATGACTTTTTAATAATTTACCATACATTATTTTATCAATTGTATATTGAGGCGTATGTACTCTTTTATCTGACAACACAAATCATTGTTTTGTACGTTATTATCTAATGATTTAATTTTAGTTATAACACATCATTTGATTGGTTAAACGGTTTTATCCATTTTGTATAACATAACTTGCCTACGTCACAATGAGTTACGTCAAAAACGTATTACTGCGCTTGACGTTAACTTTTACGAGGGTCATTCAAAAAATACGTAGACAATGCTTCTCATCGTCAAATAATTATTACAAGATTATAGATCAACACATTTCCGTAAACATAAACATTTATTTTATCGAAGTGTGAAGTTCATTCGATTTGATTAAATAGAACTCATGTTAACCAAAATTTAAACCAACATGTTTTGTTACCATGGAGCACGGTTAACCAACATTGTAACGTCAAAGACAACGTTGAGAAAATTTGTCAAAATTATACTAATTTTCTTAATTTCATAAACGGTTTGTAGCGTCTTCCCCATTCAAAAAAATACAACATATCCATAACACTTAACACCTAGGTTGCAAACGATTGTACAAATATAGCTTGAATAAGAATGTCATTGTTTTCAAATTCTTTAATTTACCATGTAACTCTATTAATTCTGCAACAGTGAAGCACACATCACGTGCAATGACGTTCCTAACTATTTCAACAATATTTTTAACTTTAACCTGTTTCTTTGCAGACAATTCATTGTATGATTCAAACTCGCTACCACTCAAAAATTGTATTTTTCATTTAATACAAATACACAGATTATTTTTCACACAGATCCTGGTTTATACGGATTTTTTAAGCTTGTAGAAGAAGTTTCCCGAATGAAAAGTTGAAAAGTACAATTTTATTGGTACTTGCTGCTCCATGACGTCCTCCAACGTCATAGTTTTTTGCTTTTTAGCTCACCTGAGCCGAAGGCTCAAGTGAGCTTTTCTGATCAAAATTTGTCCGTCGTCTGTCGTTGGCGTTGTCGTTGTCGTTGTTGGCGTTGTCGTTGTCGTTGTCGTAAACTTTTCACATTTTCATCTTCTTCTCAAGAACCACTGGGCCAATTTCAACCAAACTTGGCACAAAGTATCCTTAGTTGAAGGGGATTCAAGATTGTTCAAATGAAGGGCTGCACCCTCTTCCAAGGGGAGATAATTATGAATTAGTGAAAAATTAATAGCATTTTTAAAAAATCTTCTTCTCAAGAACCACTGGGCCAGGAAAAATGAAACTCATGTGGAATCATCCTCAGGTAGTGTAGATTCAAGTTTGTTCAAATCATGACCCCCGAGGCTAGGGTGGGGCCAAAATGGCCGACCAAAGTTTTACATAGGAATATATAGGAAAAATCTTTAAAAATCTTCTTCTTAAGAACCACTGGGCCAGGAAAGATGAAACTCATGTGGAATCATCCTCAGGTAGTGTAGATTCAATTTTGTTCAAATCATGACCCCTGGGGCTAGGGTCGGGCCAAAATGGCCGACCAAAGTTTTACATAGGAATATATAGGAAAATCTTTTAAAAATCTTCTTCTCAAGAACCACTGGAATTGGAAAGATGAAACTCATTTGGAATCATCCTCAGGTGGTGTAGATTCAAGTTTGTTCAAATCATGACCCCCAGGGCTAGGGTGGGACCAAAATGGCCAACCAAAGTTACATAGAAATGCATAGAACAAATCTTTTAAAATCTTTTCCTTCTTAAGAACCACTGGGCCAGGAAAGATGAAACTCATGTGGAATCATCCTCAGGTAGTGTGGATTCTACATTGTTCAAAACATGACCCCTGGGGCTTGGGTGGGGCCAAAATGGCCGACCAAAGTTTTATATAGGAATATATAGGAAAAATCTTTTAAAAATCTTCTTCTTAAGAATCATTGAGAAAGGATATATGAAACTTATTAAATGAAATTATCCTCAGGTTGTGTAGATTCAAGTTTGTTCAAATCATGACCCCTGGGGCTAGGGTGGGGCCAAAATGGCCGACCAAAGTTTTATATAGGAATATATAGGAAAAATCTTTTAAAAATCTTCTTCTTAAGAATCATTGAGAAAGGATATATGAAACTTATTAAATGAAATTATCCTCAGGTTGTGTAGATTCAAGTTTGTTCAAATCATGACCCCTGGGGCTAGGGTGGGGCCAAAATGGCTGACCAAAGTTTTACATATTAGAAATATATAGAAAAATTCTTTAAAAACCTTCTTCTCAAGAACCACTTTGCCAGAAAAGATGAAACTCATGTGAAATCATCCTCAGGTATTGTAGATTCAAATTTGTTTAAATCATGACCCCCTGGGGCTAGGATGGGGCCAAAATGGCTGACCAAAGTTTTACATAGGAATATATAGGAAAAACTTTAAAAATCTTCTTCTCAAGAACCTTTGGGCCAGGAAAGACGAAACTTATGTGGAATCATCCTCAGTTAGTGAAGATTCAAGCTTGTTCAAATCATGACCTCTGGGGCTAGTTTTGGGCCCAAAATAGCTGACCAAAATTGTACATAAGGATATATAGGGAAACCTTTTAAAATCTTCTTTTCAAGTACTTCAAAGCCATGATTAGTGATATTTTTCTATTTATATGGAATCATCCTCAGGTAGTGTAGATTCTACATTGTTCAAATCATGACACCCAGGAGGGTTAAAATTCCCCCCCCCCCCCAGTAAACTTTCAGTTTTGATCTGATATGTGCTTTTTCCTAGTAGATGTGCTCAGGTGAGCAATGTGGCCCTTGGGCCTCTTGTTTTAATCAAGTTCATATGTATTTAGAAACTGATATCTTTTAAACGGAGCGACATATTACACAACCTGATTTCATTTTAATTAATACAGCAATACTTTATTTAAACATGTAAATTTTATTTCGTTTCAGCTCCAATTATTAGAGGTATGGCTGTAAATACTATAATGTGAAAAAAAGTAAATTACTCAATTTTGACGGTGCTCCGTTACCCCATTTTTGCTCTTCTAAAACCTTGTTAATTTTAATAAATATGAAGATACATTCCAATTTTTTTACTAAAATTATTTGAATCTGTTGTTAACATATTTGTACCAAATTTGGATATAATATAACGTTAAATAAAAAAGTTGGGACAAAAGTCTACGAACTTTTTGAATGACCCTCGTAAAATATGCGATATTTGTAGCCTTTTTCCGAAGGAAAAAATGAAAAGAATTGTCTCATTGTTGTTTACATTGAAATTAAATTATAAGGAACGAAGCTTAGTTCAACTTATGTTATACGATATAACATAACTTGGGGCAGTTTACGCTTTTTCATAAATAGCTTAGCGGTTTATAAAGCGTAAACTGCCCCAAGTTATGTTATATCGTATAACTTAAGTTTAAATAAGCTTCATTCCTAAAATGAACGAAAATACATAAAATGATTTAGAAACTAAAATAAAACTTCTTAATTTTAATACTGTTTTTTATCTTAAATATCCCATCCTAAAAAGATTAAGATTAAAATGGAATATATAAGTATATTGTATATCGATTTAAGCGTTTTAAATTATAATATTAATTAAAATAGTTTATCATTGTCTGTTCTTCTCTCACAGGTATAAGTTATAGTTAATTTCTCATTCCTCCTTTCACTACAAAAAAAAGAAGAATTTAATGTTGCAAATTCACACTTGGATATACT